CAATGAAGTTGATGCACTGAACTTGCAGCAGGGATATTTTGCTTTACTTTCACAAAATCACTTCACGGTGTGAATATGTTCAGAGTGAACTACTGTTGAAATACTGTAAGGAAAGGAGTTTGATTCACGACTAGGTTATACAATTCCTCAACTGTTCTTCTCAGAGCATTTCATGCTGTGTCCCCGTGTTTCCAGGCATTATGCTAAGCTAAGCTATCTCCTGGCTGTAGCCTCATATCTATAGTACAGGCACTCTGTTGAAAAAAAAAAAAAAGTAAATAAGCATTTTTTCCTAAGATGTTGAATTATTCCTTTAGCTTCAGTAAGAACATATTCAAAAAGCTGAAAACAGATTTGCTTTTGTCTGCTTGCAACCTCAGCAAAGCAGTTTGTTAGTCGAGGCATTGCAATCTAAAATGATTTAATGCTCCAACAGAATATGACGTATATTTGTTAGCCCGAACTCTGACCGTGTGTATCCCGTGACAGTAATAATGATCATCTCTGACACGAGGGCTGACCCACTTGCAACGACTTTATTCTGGTCTTTATCTTATTAAATTAGATGTAGGCTATACAAACAAGCATCATCCCAGCATTACCAAATTCAAACCACGTGAGCTCCGATGTGATGCACAAAGTTAATTGGGCAAAGTATAGATGTTTATCTAAATTTTATTATACCTTATTTCTAAAATATAGACAAAGAAAGAATGAAGAATCCACAACACTTTTACAGAAACAATCTCCAGGTCCATTCGATAGACATTTGATAAATGGGCCTTTTGGTGCATCTAACCAGCTGTTTCCAAGGTAACTTTGAACTGCAAAATGTTCCAGTGTTATATTTCTACTATGTGAGCAACGCACCTCGCCACATTTAAAGCGGTAGATTAAGAACATGTCTCTCAGCAGGTCGTGTGAGGACATCGGGGAAACTGTACATCACCATGTGGAGTGTGTGGGTAAGGAAAGGACTGCAGTGACTGTGTGAGAGCCACTCTGGACAAGGGCATCTCCTCAGTGGCTGATGGTATAAGTAAAAACGACCAAAAGAGAGCTGCTGAGCTACCAGGTGGTGGCATATCCATAAGGTCTTCTACAATAAACACGATGCATTTTTGTAGACTTTTTAGATCCAATCAACCAAACTCAATGTCATGAGTTTATGGCTGCAACTTACTTAAAATGCAAATGCTACAAAAATCGACATTTTAAGAAAAGAAATTCAGAAATGTGTCATAAATGCTCATTAATACAACTCATTTCAAGCTATCCTGAGCTGAAGTGCTGAACAAGTGGAAACGTTGACCTGCTGGTGGTGTTAGATGAAAGGTCAGATGATCACTGAGGGAATTAGAATTCCAACTCTGGGCATCATGAGGGTCTCTCTGCCAAAGGTTCATGGCAATCTATCTAAACTTTGTCATCGCCAACCTTTTTTTTTGCCCTACAACAACTTAAAAAAAGACAGAAAGTTGCATTTGAGACCCCTTTGTCACACACTATATATCAGAGTCGTGAGAGTCATTTAAAGAATTTTTACATGTTCATTATTTTAAGAGGTCTTGAGAGGTAAAGTTGTCATATATATATTTATTTTCGTCTTCTTTCGATTCTGTTAATTGTCTTGTGTCCCCTCAGATTTCTGGATACCGACCCTCAGGTAAGACACCTGTGCTCTAGTCCAAAGTCTCATCTCTGCCCCAAATCATTCTTTGAAATGTAATATAATAATAGCTCATACGAAGCCTAGATGTAAAGGATACATGTCAGATATAGGAAGAAACTGACTGCCACACATACAGGGTGTATTCATATGTTAGCATGTAAGGCCCTTAAATATGCACACACGTTAAGAAATGATTAGTTACAAGAGACATGTTCGAGAGGCCCAAAGGTACATCTGGAGAAATGTTGATGTCACTAGAGAGAACCAGAAAGAGAAGCACAGCAGGAAAAGCAATTAGACTGATCGATTTCCCCCTGCCTTCCCAAGCTCCTTACCACACACATATACTGATATGTACACACACACACACACACACACACACACACACACAAATGCATTCGCAGTTGTATTCTGAGTCTAACATGCCCAATGTGTGCAAGACGTAGCAGGTCATGTTTCTTTTTAACACCATATGCATTTACAGCACTCGTCAGGTGTCAGAACAAATGAGTGTGTGTGTGTGTGTGTGTGTGTGTGTGTGTGTGTGTGTGTGTCGCCATGCAGGTATGCAATTTTGTCTATGCATGTTGTTTACGTGTGTAGTGTTTGTCCACATAGTTAACCCTTATTAAAACAGGCATGTTGACTGAAAACACTTCCATTCAGTAACAGGAAGGTTTCCACACGTAAACACATTCACCTGTGGTGTCAGAAAAACAGACGCAACACAAACACACTCAAACACACACACACACACACACACACACACACACACACACACACACACTCACACACACTCACACATATATCTACCAATCAACAGAGAGGCAGATGTCATAAATAAGCCTAATTCAAAGAAGCGACAGGAGGGAAGTTCAGAGTTCCACCGTCCATGAATGCAAAGCTGACCTCTCAGTTTACAGAGATCGGGTCTCATAACATTTCCAAACAGTCTATTAAGCTCCTCAGAAGAGGTCAAAGGTCATGTCTTTCTTTCTGTCTCACTTTCCCTTTTTTTGTTGCCCTCCGTGAGGGGGAAGCACTTTGACTCTTGTGAAAGAAATTGTCAAAAATAACCAAATGAATTATTAGTTTGATAATAAAAAGTATATTAATCCGAAGTTCCCCTGATTAGTTCCTCCCAGCTCTTTATCACGAGATCTGCTTCCGCGAATTGAGTTTGCTCACTTGACATCGTGCGACCTACATTTTTGTGCAGTGGTTGAACAACAATTTTGAGGTACTTGTACTTTACTTGAGTATTTCTATTTTTTGCCACTTCATAGTTCTACATTGCTTCACGTATTTGAAAGCTTTAGTTGCATCATAGATTCTTATTATTAATACAAAACATAATCAACAACTACATAATGATGTATTATTTATGTATTAAGCTACCCAACAGTACATGAAGAAGTAAAACAACAATAATGACATTACATAAAAGCATCAAATAATCCAATAATATAATAGATATTATTCTGAAATTGGCCATTCAGTGTAATGACTATGCTACTTTGGATATGTTAAGTATATTTGAATCTGCTTTTACTGAAGTAAAAGTTTGGATGCCGGTCTTTACTTTCTATACTGTGGTATTTTTATTTGAGTAAAAGAGCCGAGTACTTCTTCCACCACACTGTCTTACAACCACCTGTTAAATCAGGTCATCATGACAACTGAAAAAAAACACTATCTGGTGAGGAAGACAGTGAGTGTGCAGTTCAAAGGTCGGGAAAAAATCTAGTAGACTCAAGCTGTAAATATTTATGTATCATATCGAGGCAATAAAAAATATATATTCCCATGCAGGACATGTATCCAACAATAACTTAGAAAATGTCTCTTTCACAGCGCAAAATAGTTTCATACAAGGGTTCTTTGTATGAGATAGCCTATTTTTGTCCAACTGAGTTTTAATTTGTTTAACTTTGACACTCTTTCTCACAAGATGTTATCAAGAAAAAAAGAAGGAAGTCAAAGTGTTTCCCTCCGTTTATTTCTGGAGCTGACCTACACTGTACCCCTCTTTGACAGTTGCATTTGTGTTACCAAATCCCTGTTTGGAAACCCCCTGCATTGTACCAGCATGTTTTGTTTGATTTGTTATACCAACCATGTGAAGGTTCATACCTGCCTGTCTCATTTATCAAATGAAGTGAGTCCCTTGGCCGAGGACGAAGACAGTAAATTGTAACGCTCTTCATTTAGGAGAGCGGTTGCTATTTATGTTGCGATGACAACTCATGGGAGAGACCATCCCCAATATCTGCACTCAATAATGGGTTCAGGTTTCTATTTATACTCCCTCTCACTCTTTCTTTCTCTCTCCTCTTTATTCTCTGATTGTCACTCGGGGCCACCTCACGTAATAATTATAGCTGTCGGCCATCATAAGAAGGCTGTTACAGAAATAAACCTCGGCCTCGGTAGAAGACATTGGCTGTTATTTGAGAGAGTGTGACGTGCAGGTAACTCTAACCATCTCGTTGAAGCAGAGTACAGATAGATGTTTCTGTACCTTAGGAAGTGGGCCACGAAAAGTATATTACATGTTCATTTCAAGAAAAGTCTTACAGTGTTACAGTGCTTCTTCTTTTTAGTAGCCCATCATCTAAACTATTCAAAAGAGGATTTTCAGCCACCATTGATGACACTGAGTTCATGTCCTACGTATTTTTAGAGGCAATTCGGGAGATTAGCAACCTGGGAGGGAGTTTACACTCAACAGTTTTCACATATCAGTTATTTGTATCGGCTGCAGTATTTCTAGACCCATTCATCCATCTCTCATAGAAGAACAAGTCGTCATGGTTACAGTCTCCTGGTTACACGAGGTTTGTCTCCCATCGTGTAGCCTGATCATCTGAGCTTTTACAGCAGAAAATCGAATTGCTGTTTAGTAATTGCTTTTTTATGTATTATTGTTCATGTCTTTCTTGTTTTAGCTGTTGTATTACAGTTATAGTTGTTTCACTCTGAGGGATTTGTAGCATTACTATTGTTTAGGAGTTACTGCAGGTGTTTAAACCAACATCCCCTGAACAAACACAAGCCCATGCTTACTCTCACATGCACACACATGCTCGCACACACTCGACACAATTACTATGACTATTACAATTATTTTTATTTTATTTTATTTTTTTATTTTGTTGTTTGTAATGTATTGATATTATTATCATATTTCATATCTTCTAAAACATCTTGCCAATAATATTTTACGGAGTCATATCTTATGCATATTCACTTGATGTTCTCTGTAATTTTTTTAAATTGTAATATTATATAACGTTAGGTGAAGGCTTCAAATAAGCCCAGTTGGCTTTTTACCTCTTCCTGCACCGTGCTATTCATTTATCTAATTATGTTAGTTTATTTTGATTGTATTGTTTGAACTGTGCAAAATAAATAAACTAAACTAAACTAAACTAAACAGCACCAGCTATATTCAAGTCCAGTCCAGTCTTTCACGTCCAACGGATTCATGATGAGCAGCGCCCTCTGCTGGTAGGAGCCAGTAACTACAGGAGCACGTTTGTAAAAATGTTTGTTTTGTTTACAGATTCACTTAAACATGGCCGCCCTAGCAACCACACGATGCGCTGATAAACATGGCTCGGTAGCTATCACAGAGATATCCAATGCATTTGGTCTCAAATTGACATGTAGTCGACAACATTTCACTCATCTCAGATGTTTAACGTGTTCAAGGACACCAGGAGATATGGCGTAATGTTAACCAATGCTAGCTAACGTTAGCTAGCTACAGGAGATCTATCTAACGTAGTCCGATGTGAGCTTGTCGTGTCTTTACTGTGTACTGTTTGTGTGGTATTTTGTAAGAGCACATTTTGCCCCTGGTAGTAAAACTAGCATTGTGTGTGACTTTGTTGCCCGCTCCTCGTGGTGCGGTTCCCTGATGTACGAGCTTCCATTATCGGACGCTGCGTTGATCCAGAATGCATTGAATTTACACCCCTGCAGTCGCTGCTATGCAGTGCACTGCGATCAGCTGTTGTGTCTTGCTTTCCCTGAATGAACGTGAGCAGGGAGAGGGAGACTCCATCCGTGTCCAGCAGCTCTGCTCATCTTCTGCTGTCGGCAGTGACAGCGTGGATCAGAGGCTCGTCACGCAGAGAGCTGCTCACTTTCTCAGGGAAGCCGAGAAAACCCGGAGGCAGTGAGTGAAGCTGCTCAGTGTTTGTTTAACATTTCATTCTGAAGCCTCAACCGCTTCACCTCCAGTGTACAGATCCATTGGTGGACAAATTGATGAGAGAGACCAACATCAGATACAGCTCTGGTGTCAACAAACACAATGTGCCTCATGTATCAGCTTCAAAATGGCATTTACCGCAGGCATAATGTATTGGATCGTGTAACAGTGCATGGTGTGTGTTTCCCTCAAATACTTCACACACATGTTTTGTATGGAAATTAAAATAACACTTTTCATACAAACTCGACAATAGCAAGAACTGATTTGGTGTTGCTGAGGCACCACTGTAAATAAAAAAGCATGTGTGCCGTACTTATATAACCAATCACTAAACCACTGTAACACGTCAAATCACGCAGGGACTTTGACATCAGGGAGAGTTTAAACCTTACTATTGATCACTGGTCAATGATGCAATGTACTCTCACCTCTCAGGATTGAAAAGTTGGAGAAAGAGAGGACGTTGAGTGTTCAGTGCAGAAAGAACGGCTGGACAGATGTGACTGGAGAACTGGAAGTGTACGAAAAAGTGCTGGAAGAAGAAAGAAATGCTGAGAGTGGGTCTTTCTTTACATTACAGTAGCCTAACATTCCCCCCAGTTTGTCTAATGTGGCATGGTGCATATACCTCTAAGACAGCCTTAACACCATGTGGTATAAAATACTCCATTGTGAAGATTTATATCCATGTCCTTTTCTCTGCCTACTTCCCGGAAGTCGAGTCAGAGCAGTAAACCAATGTTAACGGAGACATCCACCCTCGACACTTTACCACTTTGATAAAAACTGCTATTCATGTTCTTTGCATTTCTTTTCCCTTAGAGATGAACCTTCAAAGGCAGCTAGTGAAGATTCATAATGGTGTGAGGAAGTTTCAGAGACAGCTAGTAGATGTGAAGCCAACTCCCGAGTGTAAGTTTAATACCCAGCAGTGTTTGTTTTATAGTGCCTTATAAACAATCTTTAATATTTGTGCCATTCTGCTACATCCATAGAAAAGATGCCATCGTAAAGTAGTGCACTGCTCAGTAAAAGCACGGGGATTGTAGTGTCATACTCATGTACAGTGAAAAGCTGATTTGTATTCATGTTTCTGCTTTTCTACTTGCGTTTTCAGTGATTGAAAGACTGAAGGAAATAATGTCAGAGGTGGAAATCTCAATTAACTCCCTAAAAGAGGAAGAGCGCTCATGGTAACAGGATGCACTAAACAACTTCACACCTATTTTGACCAGAAAAGTACAAACCGCAATACAATGTAACTTCCTTTATTAGGAAATACCACTTTTAACTTAATGTTCAGTTACATACATATTAATATTAGAAAACACACACTATTTCATACAATGCAATCTAATACACATTTAATCCCATGAATAAAGTTATTTAAATATATAAAGATAAATAAAACTTTACAAGGTTATGTACACCCAATTAGGCAGGCAAATAAAACAGGTGCTGATCAGTGTTTGCTCCACAGTGGGAGTGAATATGTGTACGCTAATGAAAACATGAATAATTGTCTTCTGTGTTTCTCGGCTCCTCTCAGCTTTGCGGAACTTCTGAAGGAGGAGAGGACATGCAGACAGGAGATTGCTGCTTATGAGAAGAAGATTGAAAACGTGAACGTTTCTGTCAAATCAGACCCCAAACTACACACGGCTCCCACCGTGAAGGTCGGCCTCTCATCTTCCTTCTCCTCCGTTTCCTGTATTTCCTCTGTTGTCATCATTCATGCAATGAAAAGAAGAGGGACAGCCAAGTTTGTGTTTGAGTGTTGAATCTAAAGGATGTGATGAAAATATCTTGAGCTCTTGAGACGGAGAACATGTTTGAAATCATTAAACGGTGTGTTACGAGTTGACAGATAATGTTTATTACATTCGAAGTGTCTTTTTTTTTTTTTTTTTTTAAATGCATCCATAATTCTGACTTATTCAGCATTTCATTCATGATTTTATTCCTACTAGACCAAACCCCCAGACAGAGACCTCCCTGCAGAGGTCCGAGCACTGGAGTCTTTCCTGCTGAAGACAGGAGGCGCTTGTGGTGGCTGGGACCAATATGACCACCAAGCCTTCCTAAAAGTAAGACATTACTGTTTTTCTGTCTTGATAACTTGCAATAAGTTAATGAAAAGTCTCCTTTCATCTGCCACCTTCCTAGTTCAGGATCAATGCAGACACAACACCACAACAGTGTTCAATGTTTTGCTGCAGCGGATGCTAAGCCAAAGGTTGATCACCTCAAGATCCCCGTCTGTCCGGCTGTAATCTCTTTGATTTACAGGTTTGGACAAAGCACAGTGGGCAAGCAGCCTACAGGAAAGAGGCAAAGCTGTACTTGCCTGGTAAAACACTGGAGGAGATCGATCAACACGAGGACTGGCGTCAGGAGCTGATCTACCTGCAGGACAAAAAGAGAGAGGTACAACAGGGCTGGAAATGAACTTTTTTCCCCCAGTGTCCAGTGACTGTCTCGGCCCAGACTTAACTACTAATGTCTCTTGGAGTGCTTTTTTTTGTCATTCTACAAAATAAATGTAGTTTTGTGATAAAGTTCTGTTAGGTGTTCTCTACATAAATAAAAAATAATAATAAATTTGAATCGCCGTAGGTGTTTATCCACAATCAGTTTTCAATATTATTTGATCCATTTGTTGAGTTACTGTCTCTTGTTTATTTCTGTTCATCAGTCATTCATTTTTTGGGATAAAATTTGAACATCTTTAAAATTCTGTTGTTTACTCCACCAGGTTGTGTGTACAATAAAGTACAACCTATTCTGTATAAAGCCGGAGCTCAGAGAAAGAGTCTTTTAAATATGTTGTACTTGTGTTCGTACCGTACCCAGGCTATTCAACGGTGGAAAGCCAGCAAGCATCGGGAACGCCAGACCAGAATACAGAGTCAGGAGGAGAAGGAGGAGGCAGGAAGGAGGGAGAAGGAGGCCAAGAGCCAGGCCCACCAACACAGGTGAGTCAGAAGTGGAGCAGAATAGAATAAAAAAACAAAAACATGAAGATGAGGTGGAGCAGATTTTGATTTCCTGGCTGAAGCTGTGAAATGCACCCCAAAGTCAAACGATCCCGCCAGACATGATGAGCACCCAAAGTCTTTCAATGGCCACTTTTAATAAAAGTGAATTTGGGGACTTTATTTGCACTTTTTTTTGTCACTTTGGTGTCACATCTGTTTCATTGTGTTTTATCCTCTTCTGTTCAAGGACTGAGGAGGAGAGGAGGGAGGCAGTGCGACGACTGGAGGAATGGAAGGAAGAGAAGAGGAGGAATAAGGAACAGGAGGAGGAGCAGAGGCTGGCTGAGGAGATACAAAAAAGGAGGCGGGCAATGGTGCTTTGTGTGTGTGTGTGTGTGTGTGTGTGTGAAAAGTCATTTTACTGTGGTTGTGGTTCATCAAAGATAGTGATTATGTATTTTATATGTACTTGTTTGTGCGTCTCTGAATTAATTTAGCATTGAAAAACGATACACATACATACATTGATATAAATATGCTTGGTGTCCTTTTTAGCTTTATCAGAAAATGTTCTGTTTTTCAGGAAGAGCGGCGCCGGCAGCTGGAAGTGAAGCTGACAGTTGAGGAGCAGCTACGACTGAGGAGAGAGGAGGAGGAAGAAAAGGAGAGGAGGGGGAAAGAGGAGGAGCAGAGGGAGATGGACGAGAGGAGAAGGGAGGCAGCAAAGGTCATCAAACGATTTAATGAAAGGGTATGAAGTCTGAGAATTACAGAGACACCAAGAAGCACCAGTCGTTTGTCTGTTTTTACTCGGTGTCACCACTTCGAAGGGCCAGACTTTCTCACTGGAGCACAGGTCTTGTTTTGTGAGGTTGTAAAGTATTTAAGAGATGAAAGCTATTTTTCCAGTTTTTCAAATGTGGGAATAAATACCAAGGCTAGTGTTAGAAGATAAATGACTGCATGGTGTAAAATGCAAAACGTGCCTTTCTGCAGGATCTTCACAAGTTGGAGGCAAAGCTTCAGGAGAAACAGCTGAGGGTAAAAGAAGAAGAGGAGAGACAGAGGAGGATCACTGCTAAGTTAAAGGAGAAGGTAAGGGTTATGCAGTGAACAAGTCCCAAACATTTTAAAAGCTTAAATAAACAGAGTTCATTATTATTATGTTCATTATTCAGGTGGATGGTCACGTCAGCAGAGACCCCTCCAGGCTCACCCGTCCCACTAAGGGATGGGAGGAGCGATTGAAACACATTGGATCTTCAGGAGGAGGGCCTGTGCTGCAGATGTTTCACAGGTCTGATTGCCCCAACTTTTGTGTGGTGTTTTGGGTAATAACAGGTGATTGTTAAATCACTCAAATGTTCTGTCATTTTGTTGCAGAGCTGTTCCAACTTGGAGACAAGACCTGTGATGAGCAACAATGAAAGTCAACCAAGCAGTCCTAAAATGCATTGAGAATTCAGTTTTCTGTTTTTATAGAAATGTGATAAAGTGAAAATGTACGCAATAAAAAAACAGATTCTGCCTTTCTTTGAATCTACTATGTGCTGCTATGAATTATATTAACTTACATTTGACAAAACTGGTATTTTAAATAAAATCTTTTCTTTAAACTTCACAATGTCTTATCTCTGGTGGTCTATTTTTCCTCTATTGAAATTGTTCACTGGTAACAATGTTATTATTTTGCAAAAATAATCTCCAAACAGTCAATCTTTATAATGTGTACTTCTTGTGTCTTCCATAGAGATAAAACTTCTGAACTGCCCTTTCTGTACACTGCTTTGTAGTATAAGCTTTTATTCTGAAAAACAAACGTACCGGAAAAGATTCCTCATAGGTGCGGATGCAAAGATGGCGGAAGAGGAGAGCCAGTTTGAAGAATTTGAGCAAATAGACTTTTTAAGAGATAGACATGTACGATTCTTCCAGAGAACACTTCAGGTGTTACCTGAGAGATACGCCTCGCTGGAGACAACCAGGTACATTTACTGGAGTGAAAAACGTCGCTTTAGTTCATGTGTTTTGCTGAAGAACTTGACTAGCATTCAAGCTAGCTGTGGTTCAACCGTTTTGAATGAAGGCTAGTGCCAGTTAGCTTAGCGGGCTCGCTGACATCAGCAATGGCAGTGAAGTTATGACAGATGGGCTGTAACGTCAGTAAAACATGAAACTAACTGCACGACACCCTGTGAAGCTAATTAGACAACGTCAGAAGGTTATTCTCGTAGGAATAAAGCTCATTTGAAAGTGAACGTCAAGCAAAATGTAACGTTAATGTGTAAGATGAGCAGGTTCTTCATCTCTAAACTTAACAAATAGCTCCAATAAAAGCTGATCTAAACCAACAGCTAACGTTGATTGTTGGCCTATTAGGCTATTTATTTGTAGCTTTTGAATTAGATTGCTATCTGCTTTCTTTCCAGGTTAACGATCATATTTTTTGCCCTGTCGGGTCTCGATGTGCTGGACGCTCTGGATGTGATCGATAGGAATACCATGATCGAGTGGATCTACTCGCTACAGGTTATGCCCACAGAGGACCGTAAGTCTCGCATCTTCTCACGTGTTCACACCTGACTGTAAATAAGATAAGTTTAAAAAAGTGAATTATAAAAAAATAAAAAAAAAGGTTTGCACTACAAGTATTCACTGCCAATACGAACAATGTAACAATGGTTCACACGGAGCAGTAAATCAAAAGGTCTTTAACTAAATCATTAATGAGTTGAATGGAGCGTTATCACCTCCACACAGGACTTCATGAGAGCCTTATTGGACAAATTAATGATTTGGGATTTTTCTGACACTATTGACAATGCATTCCCGTATTGATTCAGCTTTTGAGAAAGACATAAAATAGAGGCATTCTAGCAGAAACTTCCTTGAGGAATGGATACTAGTGGTACAGAGCTAGCTTAGTAAAGGTACAGGACCAATGCTCTTCATCGGTGAGCAGACGCTGTCGGTGGGATGTGGTTTTTCAAGAAAAACACAACCATAAACAGGTTCACGTCATGCATTTTCTAAAAATATTTGAAGTAAATTATTCAATAATGTCATGGAATGTGTGTGTCTATGTGTCTATGGTTCTGTTATGGAGGGAAGACAACTTCAGAGTACTCAAACTTCTGATTCTGTCAAATATTTCATATTTTTGGGAGTTTGCCTTCACAGGTCTTCCTCACCTGTTCCAACCATACCTCTGTTCATCAGGGAAAGTTGGTCTTTAAATATTTAATGATTTTTTTTCTGTCTCTAACAATCATCTCTGTGCCATCTGTTTTGATGCCCAGTTAGTTCATTATTCAACAGAAAGCATGTCTGGATAGCCGTGTTTGATTGGTCTAATTTTTGCTGCCGCCATATGTTTGGTGTCTGGCTGTTTTTCTGTCATTAGCTGAAAATACAGCTCGGGGGGCACTTGAGATTTCCTAATGTGTCATTTCTGTCCCTGATGCTGTTGTAGGAACCATTTTCCAGAATGTGGTTAGCAGTTTTCAACATTAGTCTACTGAAAATACAAACATATTGTCGAGATGTTCTGGCTTTAATACACATTTAAGAATAAGTGATCGTGGCACTTCTTATCATGTAGTGCAACATGATCCATGTATTGTTAACCATTTCAGTCAGAAATAGTCATTATGATGTGTGACACATTTTAAAATATTGTTCTCAGAGTTCTTGGGTTGACATATGTTGATGCATTTAGTTTACTTTCCTGATGACATTTTGTTAATTAGGTTCTGCTGTATTCAATGTTCCTCCCATGGCCTGTAGATGGCAGCAGTACACTTTATTTTTAGCTAGCGGAGCATCTTTGCAGCACCTTCTGGAGGGTCAATATGGACAGATTGAGACCTGCTTTGTGAGACAGTGAAAGAGAGTAAAAGGCTTCTGTTGTTTACCAGCACATCATCATTTCTTACATCTTCTCTTCTCCTGTTGCTCTCTTCCAGAAGCTAACTTTAGTCGTTGTGGTTTTCGCGGATCGTCTCATATTGGAATTCCTTATAGCACTAAGGTACTGCCTTGCCCCACACTGTTTTTACTCCTCATCCCAAGTTTCACCAGACATTGTATCTTGTATGTAAAATGTAATGTAATAGTCTAAAGATCACACCCTTTTGTCTATTTTTTCATTTGCATCAAACCTTCTCAAAATATTTAGCCCATTTCAATCATTGACTATGTTTATGTACACGCTAATATTCCACATATGGCGGTGTTCTGAATTTGATACAGTTTTATGTAAACGGCCTTATTCCAAATGAAGCATTTTCCCATTAAGACGTGTATTAAGTGCCGATACATTCAGGTTTTAGGAGCACCAACGCTTAAAGGAATGGAAGAGGAAGGCTGAGTTCACATGGTCAAACAAGTCCACCACTGGTGTAAAACTTTGTAAGAATGTCATTTTGAGGGCTGCATGTAAACGGGGATATTAATGGAATGTTTATTGTCATTATTCATATCAACAACTTAAGTAGGAACATGTCTTTTTTTGAATAAGAGAAAAAAACTAAAAATCTTGGGTATTGTAGTCGTTATTGTACCAATCTGTTGTTTTATATCAGTGGCTCTGGGCCATTTCCAGTTGTATCCCCATCATCTCAGCAGCTGTATTATTACCAGTCATTGTGTTGGATGTGTTTGTCACATTTAGCCTCACTTATCTATCCCCATGGAGACATAGTAATGGATGTAATGGCATTGCCAGCCTGAGTCATTTCCCCAAAAAGGTCCATTTGAGCTGTCTGTAGATAGCAAAAATAGTCTTCATTGTTTTTGAACTGCTTCTTTTTCTCCTACTATAATCCCTTGATTTGTTTTCTTTCTCCGTTGTATGAATAATATCTAATTTTGATATTTTCTCTTAAGGGTCCAGGTGTGCTCCATCCATATGACAGTGGCCATGTAGCCATGACCTACACTGGGCTGTGCTCGCTGCTAATACTCGGAGATGACCTGAGCCGGGTGAACAAACAGGCCTGTCTGGCTGGTCTCAGAGCTCTGCAGCTGGAGGACGGCAGGTCGGTGTAGACACACACTCGCTCACTTACAAACGCACACATTTGCATATTTTTCCACCATGATCTACGCTGGCACTTTCACTCTGACTCAAATATGCCTAAGGTCATGTGAACACTAGCAGTCTTAATGTGGACTGACATCAACTCACGCTTGGTCCTACAACAGTAGTTGCTTTGTACACACACACACACACACACGCGCACACACACACACACATCGTGTATAACTTGTCTGGCAGATAACACTATCTTCCCACATAAGTATATCTGAGTTAACCCTTTAGCAGTTTCAGCTGACAGGTCTTTTTATAACAAGACAGGACTTAAATGCTGCAAATTCGGAACATAGACATTCAGCTCATTTTCGACCGTTTGTGTCGCTCTCTCTCTGTGTCTTCTTGCTTCCAGTTTCTACGCAGTGCCAGAGGGAAGTGAAAATGACATACGGTTTATCTACTGTGCCGCCAGTATCTGTTACATCCTGGATGACTGGTCAGGCATGGACATCCAAAAGGCCATTGAGTACATCAGAGGAAGTTTGGTGAGTAGATGTTAAAAAACATGGAACGAGGCATTAGACTGTGGGGAGAATAAGGAAGTGCAACCTCTGTTCTGCAGCATTCAAAGCAGTGTCTCTACACTCTAATGGGGATAATCATGGTTTAAAAGCTGTACCAGAGGGTTTCTTTCACCTCACAGGGAGCAACATGTTTGAATTTTATGATGTGTCTCCTGTGTGATATCCTTGTCAGATTGACTGATGTGTAACTCAACCCTTTCTTTAGCCTCGGCGTTAGTATCAGACGTGGGTTCGACACATCAATGCGGTCTGTGTGAGGTCTTGTGTTCATGCCCGTCATCTCAGTCTCTTGTACCCATTCACCTCCAAACTTCAGCTTGGTTTCAGTTTAAGACATTTAACACAAGAGTGTGTCTTTATTGTTGGCAGGGTGTGTATGACTTTTATATCTTTCTCATACAGACGAGAGGAAGAGAGGGAGGGAGGGAATGCTCTGTTAATTAGTTAACAGATAGCTGTGATTCATGTCTGAAGAGGTATATTTATCCACTGGCTGGTGGGTAAATTCCCAAATGTCTGTGGCAATGCAAGTTAGTTGTTGGTGACTGTAAGTATACAGAAGTCAGCAGATGATCGCTGGTTTTGCATTGAAAATCCCTTAAACACCAGATTTACCAGCCACACGTATTATATTTGGATGGCGCCAGGTGTCCGTTTACCAACCTTATTGTTATGGTTCATCTGATCGGACCAGACGGACACGGACTCAACCTTGTTATTTTCCCAAGTGACCATCTGTTGTTGAACTTGTGTATGTTAGTGGGAAACACTGCTTATGATCGGCAGTTGTTTGTCAGAAACATTGCTTTGAAACACAGTTTCAGAGAAAAATAGTGTTGTTTTAAAGTGCTGAACTTTTGCAGGTGGATGAGACCTTATTCCTTAATAATAACCAGGTCCTCTCGTGGAGTCCCAAAACTAGTTCATGGAGCGTGCTCATTTCTAGCCGCTTTGTTGCATGAAAAAAAGTCTGTTTAGACTGAAATACAAGTAAAACCCATCTAAGACTATTACCACTTCTTGCGCAGCCTTTTAAACATTTTGAGTCAAATGAAAGACTGAAGAAATACGTGTGAGTAATTCTCATTTTGAGAATGACGCATCACATTTGAGCCGCTCAGCAGTCTACAAAGCCGGTTCAAGCAGCCGGGAAGGCATGTTGGCTTTTGTTTTTCGTGGTGACGCCTTTAAATCAATGCCTCACTATTTAATGCTTTTAAAAGATCGGTTGAGTGTGAACGAACACATGGAATAAATCTAAGCAGCTCAGCGTCTTCTGCCAGGCTCACATTAGCCTTTTGTGACTGATGAAATATTGCATGTAATTGAATGGCTCTTCATTTTCCTCTTCACAGTCATACGACAGTGGGTTTGGTCAGGGAGCTGGGCGGGAGTCACATGGTGAGTACGATCATCGTGTAATGACCTATACTTAATTACGGATGTCAAAACAATGTCAGTTTGAAAGCTGAACGCACATCCGTGGGTGATCTAGTGAGTCAGAAAGGAGGGTACGCGTGTATTTGGCAGCCCCCCGATTTAAACAAAAATCATCAGGGTTCATGTCGGATCAAACGGTTTGTGGGTGCGTTGGCGGTGTAGTAGTAGAGGGCATGAAAGTGGCTGATGGGAGTAACTGGTTTAAAGGATTAGCCATTAAAATCCATCTCTGTAGAATACATTGTCCTCATTAATCCTCTCACCCCCCCCCACACTCAAATTAAACCGTATTATTCTGACACAAAGGCCTTCATCCTACACACACACACACTTACTTAAGAGCACTGCTTGGAGCATATCCATCGTCACCTTCATAGACACATTTCATAAATTCAATCTGCATCTAAATCAAACAGTTTGAAGGCGCTGATCCTCGTGCATCTGGGTAATTTCCCTCCTTGTGATGAATTCAACTTGTGTGATTACAGTCTTCATTGAGACTCGGCGGAGCCAGCTCTCTGTCTGAGGGCTGATTACACATCAGTAGAGATAGACAGCAGATGCCCATTACCCATCCATCCTTGAAGTGTGCGTTTGTTCAGCGCCAAGACCTCCCGCACTGTTTCCACAGACTCTTCTGTAGATGATTATGTTTTAGGCCACTGTGTAGCTCAATACGTGAAACGTGGTATTACAAGAACTATGTGCCACGGTAATAAAATAATTTCCTCCACGTGTTCAGTGTGGTTGGCTTTTATCTCACTGCTTCCTCTCTATTCCCAGCGTTTTCTTCATCTTTAGGCTATGCTCTCTTGTTTTCTGAAGGAAAATATTCACGTTCCGGTCGTCCCAAAACCTACTGTTAGAATGAATAGTTCTGGATTCCTCCTTTGATTCAGATTCATGCCCTCCGAACCATCTTCCTGCGCCTCCAGCAGATAGTCAGCGAGACGCGTTTTGATTAGAGGCGAGTGTTGCACGTCGGCAGATCTACACCCCTGACTCAAAACAGTTCGACCCGCCTTCCCCGTGTTTCTCTCCCATCACACATGAGCACACAAACAAACGCAGATAAGCAGCCTGGGATGGTGGTGACGAGTTAAAGGCTTGACAATCATGAAAGCAGCTGACAGTTGGGTTGTAGAAAGGGATGGATAGCCATCGTCATCAATCGATGAACACACTCATGCTTGTATGACTCGAGCTGTAATGACTGCATTCATTTATCAGTTGCAAGTTTTCCATTATTGTGCAGATAACGTATAAATAGGCAGCCATTTACAGTACAATAGCCCACACACAGACACGCCCTCTGTTTTTACTGCAGTGCCCTGTAATCACCCAGTTGTCTGTCATCAAAACATGTCCAATTAATGGGATTCATTTGTGTACTGAATCGTCCTAATCCACTGTCTGTGTGTCATGCACCTGCCCGTCTGTGTGTCTAGGTGGCTGGACGTACTGCGCCATAGCCTCTCTGTGTCTAATGGGTCGACTGGAAGAGGCACTGAGTCAGCGGGAGCTGGACCAGATCCGGCGCTGGTGTGTCATGAGGCAGCAGAGCGGCTTCCACGGTCGCCCCAACAAACCTGTAGACACATGCTACTCCTTTTGGGTGGGAGCTACGCTAGAGGTACGGACCGGTGTATCAGACGCACGTACACACTCCTGCAGGCAGTAACATGTTCAGTGTATTTAAGTATTTCACCTCAGACCTCTTTCACCATTTTCTCACGAGAGAGAAGAGACATGAGGCCTTTTTTAAAAAGCACAGTATATACTCACACTGTCAAAACAACTGGGTTAATCTCTCTCTCTCTCTCTCACACACACACACACACACACACACACACACACACACACACACACACACACACCCCAAAAACAACTTGTGTGCAAACCGCTCAGCATTTGGGTCATAACTTTGCCAGAGGTACATGGTCAAGAAAACTGTGAGCCTAACTGCAGCTAGCTATGAGTAAGCCAGGCATACAACCACACGCGCACACACACGCACATAAGCAAACACACACACATAAGCAAACACGTTGCAGGAAAGCTGTGAATTTCTGGGTCAAAACTGTGCCAGAGGGAACAAATGCTCAAACAATATATTTGGTAAAAGTGCTGTATGATCAACATTAAGGCCTGATTTTTTTTTCTTCGCTAGTGTCTGTAGATGGAGATTGCAGTAATCCACCTAATTTAAATCAAATGCAATGATACGAGCATGATCTCACTCTACAAATACAAAATGTATTTTAACTACCAGAAACAGCCAGTTGAAAATACCCAACAAATCTCAGAATTTATTGGATTTATTTGACTAGTTATTCTTTTTGTAAAACTTCTCTCTTCATCCCTTCTTCATCTCTCACGGTTTTCCCCCTCCCTCCCTGCTCTCCCAGCTCTTAGACGTGTTCCAGTATACAAACTTTGACAAGAACAGGAGCTTCATCCTGTCTACACAGGACCGGTTGGTGGGAGGATTCGCCAAGTGGCCCGACAGCCATCCAGGTAGATGCTCTGACTTGCACAGGTTGCTATTACAGTGACATCTAGCCGTCAACGGATAGAATAAACCTGGAGGAGTAGACTGGAGGGATTTAATGTGGTGGAAACACAAATGGAGACTATAAAGGGGTTGCTGTCCAACATGGTGTTGCTCTTTTATTTCTCAGTAGCTTCAAAGATCTCTCGTCGGGGACAATATGATAATGGAACTAAGCAGTTTCTTTTCTTGTTGTCTCTTTGGGCTGAACAGTTTGTACCCGGCCCTCCACAGGTGCAGAGAGGTCAGGGTGGAGTTGTGGTCGGCAGTTTTACTTGAGATCAATGGAAAAGCTCTTGTAACCCTAAACGTCAATGGTGCACATGCTTGTGTGTGTGTGTGTGTTCTTACTCGCCCTTGTAATGTGTAATTGATGAGGCGATTGTTCATAAGTAGCTCGAGGACGTAAGAGATCGAGAGATCACATTACAGGAAACAGGCTGGAAGAAACAATGAGGCGAGACACGGGCTGTATTGACAAAGCCTCGTAAATGTTACTGAACAAAAGAGAAGATTAGGAAATAAAAGGGAGCAGCATGGGTACAGATAGCATTGGACTTGCATGTACTTGAACAGTGCAGGATCTGGTCTGGGAAGACTGGAATGTAACAATAACGGAGAACAAAGGAGGGTTCTGTGTGTTTAAGCAGGACCGGACCAAATATAGCAAACATTTCAGACTACTTTGTTCAGTGCACAGGTGCTCCTCAAGAAGACATCAGGTCGTCATCATCATCAGCCTGATGTTTCATGTTAGGAACAGTCGGTATTATGTAGCGACACAGTGGTTATTAATAACAATTAAAAATAATTTCACCCCAAATTGATTGAATTGAGTCCCAGTGAAAGCATCTGTTGTCATGAACCTGAGAAACGGATCCACGGCTCTTTTCATTGCACAAGAGGCGGAGCACAGATCCAAATATTATAATAATTTGCTGCTGCCATTGCTCTTGAAAGAGTCCAGTTTGTGGCCAGTTGATGAACATAGAGGAGCACTTAAACAAAGCCAACTCCAAACGAGTGAACATTTTAATTGTTGGATGTGAAAATAAGCTAAAAAGTTCACCATATCGACTTAAAAGGTGATGATGATCTGTCAACATTGTGTTTGCAAGTTGTTTCCCGCTGCCCCCCAAGTGGCAAAAAAAAAGGGACAAAGGGGCACTATCCCATTACTGTTATCAGACAGCCTCCTCCTCTGTACTGGTTGACTCTGTTAATCCAACTATGAAGTTGTGCGTGTTTTTAAAGCTTGATATTCTCGTGGCCATTACTCTGAAGTACAGCTGGGAAATAATTCAATTACAGCATTCACCGACTCTGTGTACTGATATCGTGGTCTTACCTTAATGTTCTGCAAACTTCAGTTGTCTAATTTACTTACTTTGTACAAGCTGTACATTATTACATGCCGTTTTTTTTTATACAGTTGCCCTTTATCACAATTTGTGAATATATAAATCTAAATTGAAAGATGTCCTTATTCTTTAAACCTTGGACTAATGCTGACGTTGTTCCTCTTCCATACAACCTTGAGTTTGAGTCCTGGTTGATGCTGCTAATGTTGCTTTGATTGATTCTGATGTCTGTGCCCAATCATCTGTCACTTAATTATAATTCAATTACTGGTCCATTAACTGGCCTGTGCAGCTTTTACTCTGGTCCCAGAGGAGGTAAAGGGCCACGGGGCCGACCTATATGCATTATTTACGTCTTCTGAGCAGTACAGCCAAAAACAATGCTTCTGCACAATGTCATCTTTCATGTGAAATGAGGTTATTGTTTATTGATTCGGCATCGGTCACGAGGAGTGAGGTGACAAACACTGTCGTCTTCTTAGCTCCGATCACGACTCAGGCCCTGTCACATGCAGGTGCTTCTGCTGTGATGCACGTTACCATCTCTGACCTAGTTTCCCTCCTTTCTCTCACTCTTCCACCCCTCACTATGCTCCCCATTTCTTCCCCCCCCCCCCCTTTTCTCCGTTTCCTTTCCACCAGACCCTCTACATGCCTACTTAGGGCTGTGTGGTTTGTCTCTGATCGGGGAGCCCGGTTTGAGGAAGGTCCACCCAGCTCTTAACATCACCCAGAGAGCCTTTCAGCACGTCCAGCAGCTGCAGCAGACATGGAGGGACGGCGCCGGCAGCTGTAGCAGACAGCACTGACAGCAGGAAGATCCACCGCTCTGTTTCTGAACAGGTTCAGTAATCAGGAACATCTAACCCTAGTCGGTCAAAGGCAATTGGACTTTTGCTGTGTCTTGAAGACGTTTGGCCACCCATCTATGAGACCTCTTAATTACAGCAATCAGGAAGGTTGTTAAGTCCCCAGTTACACAGTAGTAACTTAGGGGAGCTCATTTTAAGTCCATCTACAGTGACTTTTGTGTTAAGCAATATATGCCACACTTTTTCTTTTTTTTTTTGCTGCCTTTTATGATTAGACTGTAGTAAATAACATTGTGCATTGTGGTTTGTGGTGATGAAATTATGTGCCAGAAAGTCAAATTTGAGTCACTGGAGATGCCTCAGATGCCTCAATTTCGCGTACTTTTTTTTAAAATGCAGTTTGGGAGCCTTCCTGCTCCTCCTCATAGTAAACCAACCCAATCTGCTGTAAACCTTCCGAGCCAAGGATGAACTGACTGCTTCCCACGGACATGTGACACATCCACGGAGTAAATGTTAGTCACTGAGACCCTGAGGAGGGCTGTCTCTTTAAATGGTTCTGCAGTAACTGGTGGCTTCGGTAGCTGAAAGGTTTTGAGTGGGCTGGTGCAATTGTCTTGTGAATCGAGTAGATTATACGCGTTTGCCATCGCTGTATAGTGTCCATGTGTATTGCAAAGATGTCGTGAATGAGTTCCTCATTTTTGTTTACAAACCAGTATGAGCCCGATGGAGGCTTTCTTTTAGATTTACCAACCTTACATCCTCAGACGAAGAAACACCCCAAGGCCCTGTTCTCCTGATACAGTATTTTTTTTTTTTGCCTCTCTGCTCCTCGAACATCTCCATCCTCACGTTGCTCTTGAACCTCTTCAAAGCCTCCAGCTCTCCGGTCCCAAAGGTGATGAGCAGCCTGGCAGGGAAAGCTCACTTCAGGTCCCTGCAGTTCCACCACTACAGGCTCTGTTTAGTGATCCCAAGAGATGTAAATGATCATAGATCTGCTTGGGCAGCCAACAACCGCCCCAGCAGGCAAATCGATGATGAAAGAAAGAAATCAAAAAACTAGTAGAAAAAAGATTTAAAGAAATAACATTCGGCAATTTTCAAGAGGCTTATAGAAAAACCGATTGGGCCTAAAGAAAGGGCATAATCCCGTCTTTCCTACAAGGTAGTAGCTTTCAATTTCAGCATCGCCCGACTCCTGAACCCTGAACTGATCCGGGCTACCCTCCTTCACCAGCCTCCATGCTCCCTGTAAGGCACTAGCCAGCCTGAAATCAATGGAAGATGAGACGGTGGCATCGTGACTTGGGGGGAGATGTATTCTTTTGAACAGCGCTGGGAATTGATATCTTATTTTCAGAACAGAAAAGGACGCAGGGCAAAAACAAAGAACAGTGCACATGAGCAGAATGTGCCTCAGAGAGTCCGGTTACAGAAGCAACTGTTCACCAACACCACGCATTCCTTCGAGTCCTAAATTGCCACCTGCATCTCGCGATGGACCTTCCAGCCTTCTTGCTCTTGAGCTCAGCTACATGTTGGAAATGTATCATTTTTAAATCCTAAAAAGATCCTAAAATGGTGACAGATTCTGGGTTCAGCTGCTTGCCTTCTCCATCACATGACTGCTCTGATTCCCACAAAGCGACATTTCCAGCTTCACAGGTTCCTCCAGCCCCCCCTGCTGAAGCCACGCCCCATCCATTATAAGACCAGCACCTGCTCCCTGAGACCATGATGGGTGAGGAGGGGACAATGTCACAGCAGGTCAGAAATACAGCGCCTCGTCTGCAACATGTCTACTGCGGGAGTCTGCTGTGTTCAGCACCAGTTCTGACTGGATACCTAAAATATACATCGCCTCTTTGGTTTTTCCTTCCACCGTCTAAAATGAAGTTGTGCTACTTGGCCTCGTCTCCTTCCTCGACAAGTTGCCTTTTTTTTTTTTTTTTTTCCCCAGACTTAGAAACAGAGCAGGCAGACGGGGGAAAGGAGATAGGAGGAGAGGTGAATAAATAAATAATCTGACCCATCTATTATTAACAGTGAACTGTCGGAGGCTGGAATCTCCTCTCTGAGCCCAAACAACCCCCCCCAGTGTTGTACAGCCTTATTTTGGTGCACACGCTATTGCTTGATGTTGCTGTATTGTTTGATGTTGCTGTTTGGCCAAAGTCAATGAGCTTTGCTGCAGTTACTCTTGCCATTTTTTTTGTATTTTTAGAAACATTTTGTTCGTTAACATAAGATATTTTCACTTTTGGGAAAGGCGAGCTGTGTCTTTCATTGCACCTAATGAATTGAGCCTCAGATACACAAATAATGTTACAAAACAAGCTCAATAAAAATAGCTTCTGAATTATTGACCATATAATATTCTGGTATCAATCTTTTTGTGTAACTTAGTTATGATGTGTCCTAAATCTGTTGGGTCCTGAAACACAAACTGCACTGAAAGGGAGCGGCCATGTCTCAGCTTTCACTGCTCTACTTCCTCCTTCGGCTGCTGGGTTCAGTCACATGGCTCCACCACTATCTCGAACCCGACTCTGAAATGTGCCTCATGTAGCATTGTTTTGGGTCACCGCATTCTGAATGCTCTCTTCTTCCCTTTTTCAGATTTCGCTACATGCACAGCATGCTTAAATTGGGCTTAGCTCGGCTGTTTATTACCAAGACGGGCGCTGAATTAACAAGTCTCTGCTGGAGGGGATGGAGGAAAGGTGTTTCTAAAACCCTAGGGAATGGAGCACGTACTCTGTAAACAGTTTTTTCCTCCTCCCATCTTTTGTAGAGTTCACTCATCCAGTCAAACATAAGCTGAGTGGCGGAGATCGTTTCTCCAGAATCTGACTTTGTCCCTTCGTGTCTGATCGATAGTGTCTTTCCAGAAGGAGGGAGGACTTCATTGAGACCCGTAAATGCTTACCCCGACCTTAAAAGAGGATGGATGATATGCCACTTACTGCGTCTCAGCAGTTGTTGTATTGTGTCTCCTTTTTGCTCCATCACAGTGCACCCGCTGCTCTCGGCCCCGCAGCATGTAAAGAGGGGGCGAGGCTTCTCTCTTTTAAAATGGCTGCAGTGAAAGCTGCGTTCAGAGGATTGTGAAAGACTTTTGAGACGCAGCCAAAATGGCCACACGTAGTCGACCGTGAATCCTTGCTCTATCCACTAATATACATAATGTAATAATGAATAATGTAATGGAATTTATTTTTTCTATGCTTTGTAGAGAGATTGGGTGTAGATAAATATGTAAATGTCTATAAATATGTGACTTCTATTTTGCAACCAATGTTTACAGCTACATCAGTGGGACGGTGAGAGGAGTCGGATATGCAAATGTTGATATGTGATGCGTTCTACTACTTCAGCTTTGAATTTGAGGACAATGATTTGGATCTAGCTTGGTGGTGCATACTGTATTTATGATGAATAAAAACACCTACTAACTTTTACAATTGTTCTGGTTTCAGTGCGAGATCTCAGGATTGCGTTCAGTATCGAGACTTGAAGCCTTCGAGAGCATGAATGTGCCACCAAAGATTTCACAGTAATTCACTAGTTTGTGATGTCATGTGCATAGGTGACATTTTGTCCTGGGGGGGGGGGGGCTAAGAGAGGGTTTGCCTCTGGAAATCACATGTGAATATCCCCAATATTCAGTTGAGCCATAAGATCTTGACCGTTTGGCCCCCTATGTGTCCTTTTAGAACAGCTCCTGCTAAGTCATTCATTATGACTATTTGGAGAAAGGGGTTTTATGTTCTGATGAAAGCTAGGATAAATATCAGAGGCTGACATTGTTACCTTTACTGGTCAGAAATCTGATATTCCATCCATCTCTAACATAGCATTTCTTTCAGGCTTAGGATGGGTTTTCCTTTCCTATGTACCTTTACGATGCAAGTATACGCTGAGGGGGACTTTTTCTGTCCTTCAGGAAAAACAAAATAAGAGTGTTGTATGATTACCTACAACACTTTAGTTTTTGTAGTAAAGACATGGTCTGTATTTCCTTCCACAGTAGACTCTGTGGCTGGATGACTCAAAACTGTTGCTCTATTTTTAACTTCAAAGATGACAACTGGCCAGCGGTTTTTCCTAATTTGCCACAATGGCTTTTCATTTTTCTTCCTACGTGGATGAGTATAAGAGCAGCACAGTCTTTTTTTTTCTTTTTTTAAAAAAATCATTTCTTTGCTAGGTCAGTGACTAAGACCTAATTAAAAGCATTGGGGGAAGGGGAGTTCTGCTGGATACAGGATACACATGCAAACACACACAGAGTCCCACTTGGGAGAAGCATAGCACAGTCAGACTTCACTGATGAGGTAATCAGATACAGGCAAATGTGGCCTAGTGGTACTTGTATCTAATCTGAATGTAAAGGTTGATAAACATTTAAACGGTAGTTGATCACACATTTTATGTTTTTTAAAGTTTAGGAACCAATTAAAAAACAGGAATAAGGTTTGAAATGTCTTTTTCTTCCACAATGAATACAGCCCAACCCAGATTACAACTCTCAGGAGATGCTCCCATGACAGCCAGCCACAGCTGTGGTTATACGGTCCCCTGTTCAACAGACAACTTGCACCTGGGTGGCACCAGACTTCCCTACGAGACATGTAGCCTTATATTGCCACCAAGTAGGTGAGGCTGAAGAAAGCTCAAGTTTAAAATCTGGTTTAGTAAACATTGATGACTCCGATGTTCTGCCGTTCACTGCAGAGAAAACTGATGCTATCATGATTGACTTGAGTGGAGCTGTATATACAGTACAAACACTGTTTACCGTTTGCATCATGTGACAGGAATGACTCATTTTCAATGATCCACACGCCCCTGGGTGGACGTATGTGCATACGCGACAGCGTGCTTGCTCTGTAGTTATTTAACTTGAATCAATTCTGCTTCGTGAAACACACCAATCAATACATTTGATTGATTAATCATTTCCGTGGAGGACACTGTGGGTCAGTTATGTGGCTTTTTTTTATGGGGCAGTCAAGTGTCATCTCCACACACACGTACTCACGAGCACTGCTCTCATCTTTGCCCCAAGAGTCAACTGAAGAGGCCATAAAAGACATGCATACCACCACTGTAGATGCTGCACTTGACCTGTTAGCCAACTGATATGTTTATAGTGAGGCAGCCTTTATACAGGGTTGAGTTGTTTTCAAGGACAGGCTTGTTCATGGAATTTGGTAACAACATTCTTGGTTCCCAGATGATGAATCCTAATCACTTTGGTAATCTCCTGACCTTTCCCCAATAGTGCCGCCATGAGGATCTCATGGGAAACATCAGCATGTTAAAAGTAGAGCCTCACAGAGCTGCTAGCATGCAGACACAACCTGGCAACCCAAGACTGGTTCTTATTGATGATTTATAACTGATGTATAAAGCATGAAATCCATATGCAACCATTTATAACACGTTTACACATGCAGGATGAGATTCCTTAGATGTAATAACGGTCGTTTTAAGATTTCCCATCTCACCATATGGATGACAGCTTTTTCCAAAATGAAACCAAATTGCTCCACTGCAGTAAACCGTGATTACATCAGTGCTTTTGGAAACAGTGGTCAGTTAGTAGATGAGTTATTAGTTTTGTCATGCACCGTTTGCTCCGTCAGTGCAGTCTGCCCGGTTGTGCCCCCCGCACATGCTCAATGGGGTGGAATATGTCTGCATGAAGCCATGCGGCCATCTGGTGACGCGGAACAAGTGGCATTGCCTGAAAAAAACAAAATTGATAAAAAAACTTAATCCGGCCTCGCACAACAGTCGCCTCACATTCCGGCTCGTGCGTGAAATATAGGTCTCTATTGGAGTCTTTCACGATATAATCAATCCGCCCAAATACTGCTACGAGACTCACGAGCTGCAGTCACATATTTGGGTCGCAATGAGCAGAAATCGGCCCATATAAAGCAAGATATGCACACTTGAGCGCGCTGCCAGCCATGCGTAAATGCCCAATTTGACAGAATGCGGCACTGACCGATTTGAGACCCCCCCGCCCTTTTAATCTTCAATCTGAGATTATCATGATTATTTACAAGTGATAAAAACGGATTGATGTATGACAGAGCGCGAGGATCACAAAGAGCTCTGTGAGCGGGGACATCGGCGCTGAGGGATGATGTAGAGAGAGAAGGAGGGAGACGGTACAGTGGAGCCTATACCGAGGAGACGGGGGCGGGGTTTTCCCTCCAAGATGAGGCTAACTAAAATAAAACTGGTTTCTTGCAGCCGGCGCATGTACAGGCTACTGTAGACTCTACGGACAGACAGCGAGGGAGGGCGGAGAGAGGATGGTGGTGATGATGTTGCGGTCTGAGGAGCGGCTCTTCTATCTTGGTGTTGTCTCACCTTCCCTGTGAAGCTGTGGAGCTTTTGATCGTGTTTGTTTAAGCCGCAGCTGCTCTGTGTGTGTGTGTGTGTGTGTGTGTGTGTGTGTGTGTGTGTGGTTTTTCTACATTTTCAATACGTCCCTGTTTGCTGACCGGTCTGTGCGCTGTAACAGCCACCATCATCTGTAGCCATGTCGGACTCTGAGGACATGACGGAGTTCGCCAGCATCGTGGAGCGGATCGAGCGGGGCGAGGTGAGTGTCCTCCGGATGATTTACGGTCCTTCTGACACCACCAGCATGTCTGTCATCATGCTTCCGACATCAGCGGCGCCGGGCCGGCCTGCGGAGCTGTCAGGGGAAAAAAAAAAAAACCAGACTACTGCCTATTCTATTCTATTATGTTCTATTCTTTTCGTTTTTTTTTTTATCTTATCAGTTCCAACACTATATTCATTGATAACACACTATATATTTTACTCAGTGCAGATATTGTAACATTATATGAGGTATTAATGCTATGTTTTTTATTGATTGAATAGCCTACCCACACCTATTCTATTCTATGTCTGTGTAACACGATTTCACGTGTGTGCCTCTTTACTAATACTAATACCTATTTAGTTCAATTACATTATAGTAATATAGTCATATTAAGATATGTTAATATAATAATATTAAATAATGTAATACCCCAATAGTTGTATTCTACTATGTTCCTATTGTAATGAGTAGTACTAGTCTATAATCTGTTCTATTAATTACATAGTCTGTGAATGTAGTCTTATCTATCTGTCTATCTGTCTGACTGACTATCTATATCTATCTATCCTCTTCTGTATACTGCATTCTATATTGTATCCCTGTGAAATATGTCAGCTGTGTGCAAACCTATATTAATGGCAACACTATGCAGTTCAAAAGTCTTTATATAATTGTATATTTTAGCCTGCCCTGTTTAACTGTTTTGTAATACATTATTAAGCTGCGATAAACCCCCATAACTCTATTCTCACATTGAAAGAAGATCTGACCCTTTTCTGTTAAAGAATTTCATAGGCTATAGATAGACCTACATCTCTATTCTATTCTATTATATATGTCAAGGCCTGGTGGCTTGAAGGCATAGCCTTCTATTCTTAGAGGGGGGAAAACATGAACGTAAAGAGCTTAATTAGAGGCTTCAGTCGCCGAGTGTGTTGGTAGTTAGCTGCTGCAGGCAGATCACGGGCTCCTGTCAATATGTGGGACACTTGGCAGCAGCTGTGTGGTGAGACGGGGCACTGGGTTACTGAGGTGTGTATGTGCACAGGGAGGGGGGTCTTTACCCATTTCAGACTGACACAATGTGTTGAAATGCATCTCCTGCTCACACAATCTGTGACATTCATCCATGCATGAGCTGTGTTTCATGTGTTAAATGAAGAAACAAAGAGCAGACTGCATGCAATTGAATGGCCATGATACAGTTACTGAATTCAGTTTAAAATGGAATCAGGCTGGTCTTGCACAGTGGACAACAAGGTTTACTATTATCTCTGTGGTGCCAAATAATCAGAGCTAATAAGCAAAAATGTAGATGATGAGCAAATATAAACACAATATACTGTATAATAGTGGTTGTGAAAGAAATGTTATTGGGTCTCTTTTAGGCCACAGTAACAAAATATACAACAGCACAAGAGACTGTCCACAGACATTATATTCCCTTAAAGATCATTTTTAGTTCCACCTATTTGCTGATAAATCAGTGACATAATAGCCGTGTGAAACATTAATATATATTCAGTGGATTTGAGCCAGAGATACATAGTCTGTGGAGTACATGTACATAAAGTTTTCACAATTGAATCTTTTGGCCTGAGAATGAAAATAAATAACATACTTTGAAAATGATGCAGAATTTCATAGAGCCATTAGGAGGTTATAGCATCCTTTCTCCCTTGTTTTGACTCCCATGGGTCCAATAGGTCCCTACGTGCTGCACACAGAACATTCAGGTTAAACACTGCTGTAGCAGGAAGTAGATAGAGTTGTACACATAGATGAACCTCTGTTATACCTCCAGTGATTCCGATACTGTGGAGCTGCTGTCTGTATGGTTTGCTGCCAACAAACGCTGTTTGAAAAGTGAATGACTCAACAGTCCTAAAGATGCTGCAGTGCCTTCAGTGACTGTGCACACTTTGGCTCGTATTAATTCAAACATTTCATCCACATCATTCGGTGCTGCTGCACAGCGTTGTCTATTTCTCCCGAAAGACATCGCAGCTTCCTCCCAAAAAACGTTTTACATGTTACATGTCCATTTTGTTCTTGAACCAAAACCCTGTTGACCTGCTATAGGGCCCTTATGTACAATATAATGAACTGCAGACCTCATCAATATCCACTGCAGCAAGCGGTTAGCAGATCATAAAACACCTGAAACTATGAAAGGGAGCCTGACATTAGTTTACAATTGATTGTAAAGTTATAGGAGAAGTTATAGATGGGCCCCTTTCAGAAACCTTCTATGATGGCAGAACACTGGAGCCTATATTGTCAGACCGGAGACTCTGAAACCCAGTTAGCCTTTTATAAAAACACTAAGCAAGATGTTGTGTGGAACTTGAGAGCTTTTGTTTTAATTAAGTATACTGATATACGGACTGATGTATAGACTAAGCTAATGGAGTAAAAGCCAATCCCACCGCAAACCTCCAGCACCTCTGTGTAAAACACACACTGTTTTCACTGCTACCAGTGCAATAATGATATTTTGTGCTGCTGACGTCTGCAGACACGAGACACTTTCCCCACCACCCAATTCCATTCCCTCATGTCAATTTCTGTCCTTGTCTTTTTACATTTGCAAGTATTTTTGTTTCAGTTCGTGGTTCGTTTTGTATATAACAGATATAGCAGGTCTATTTAAGTTTATGCGGAGCAATACTGGTCAGTACATCACTTTGGTCCAGACTGAAATATCTCAACAACTATTTGATGTATTGCACGGACATTCATGTTCTCTAGAGGATGAATCTTGCTGACTTTGCTGATTGACTTTGCTGATCCCTGACTTTTCATCTTGTGCCACAATTAGGTCATGGTTTACACTTAACATCTAGACACAAGTTGGTACAGATGTTATTGTTGGCCTCAGAATGACATGTAATAACTTCCCTTCATGTTCCTACCAGCGCCATCATCAGGTCAAATGTGTATTTGATCAATACTTTGCTTCATAACCTGCAAAACCTAAGACGCCTCAGTTGTGTTTTCTGTTTAGTGTAAATTAAACATCTGCGTGTTAGCGTTGCCATAATGAGCATGTTTGAACTCAAATCACACTGTAACATTACCTATTTTATCTCATCTCATCCACTCTGATTGAAACGAGGAAGATAATGCAAAGTAAACATGCAAAATAGTACCGACTAGGGACAAGTCGGATTGATTAATTGATCAAATTTACGAGCAGCACATGAAGGCACCATTCGTTCCGCTGGAGATCCAGCCCCCTCGTCTCTCTCCGCCCCCTCCAATGTGTCGGCCCGCCCGCGTGCACTGCTGCAGTGAATTGGCTGCTGATTCACCGCAGCGTCACTCTATTTAAATTCACTCAGACCGTCGCTGTCGGCATCTTCTGCTGGCGTCCGAGAAGTTTGTGTTTAGACCGAACCAAAAAAAAACAAAAAAACGAACCCCTCCGGATAAGGTGTTGTTTTACTCACGCAGGCTTGTTAGGTTTCATCTTGCTCACCATGTCTGCAGAGAAGCGGCGTAGCAGCACAACTCCGGTAAGTGCGAGAAGAGAGACTTTATGATTGAAAAGAAGCGTTTTTCATTCGTCCCGTCATTGTTTAACAGCCCGTAGCGTCTCTGCTGTGCATGCAAAGTGACCGGGCTTTGTAAGAAAGTTGACCCCCTTTTTTTTTTCTTTTTTTTTTGGTAGAGCCGTAAACTGCCACCAGCGTGTGTTCATTCATTACTGATTCGAGCCGTTGTTTGTTGTTTTAAATGAAACAATTCGCTGTGAGCAGGATTGGGGACAGTCTCTGTTTTTTTGTTTTCGATTAAACTTCCTCTATCCTTCTGGGTATTGTCCTTTAGCACGTGCGGAGGCGTTTTCCCTAAATTAATGTTTGGTAGACTTTATTGAGCTGTTTCTATCACACCACCTGTAATGCATTAACTAATCGGTCTGTGAATGCGGGAGGACTCCCAGAAACCTTCTTTAATCGTGTTTCAGTGTGAAAACGTGAGCTGCTGGAATCGTGTGTTTTACTGTTTGTCTATATTTAGCGAGCTGGGCTTAATCCTCTCTTATGTAATGTATCAAACATGTTAAAGACACAATGGCTGGCTGTTGTTTTGACTGCATCAGTGCTTTTTCAAAGTAAAGTTGAAGGCATGCTCTGGTGGGATAAATGGTTGCATCTCACTTCTACCCACCTTTTAAAGACATTTTGCCACTTCACCAACACAGCAGAATGTAGTGTTCCCTGTTAAAAGCGCAGACAATGGGCCTATTTGAGCTGCATCTAAAATGTGCTAATAATAGGTTATTGTTCCAATAATAAAAGACCGCTGTATCCTTTCCTCCTGGTGAAGTTGCCAAGCTTATTTCAGACTGATCTGTGATGCCCTCCTTCTTCTCGGTCTCATGAGAGTATCTTTTTAGAGATGACTGCAGCTGTGGTTGCGCCTAATGCTAAACCCCCCCAGTGCCTTTTTTATGGCAGTTTTCAGTGATCATGTCTCCCATCACCAGGTCCCGATCAAAAACATCGAGAGGGAGCTGATCTGCCCGATCTGTAAGGAGCTCTTCACCCACCCGTTGATCCTCCCATGCCAGCACAGCGTCTGCCACAAGTGCGTCAGGGAGCTGCTGATGCTGAACCACGAGGACTCTTTTGATGCCGGCTCCGAGTGCTCCCTGCCGGGCAGCCCCAGGTCCAGGGTGCCCTCCCCGTCCATGGAGAGGCTAGACAGGCTTGTGAGATCAGGTGGGTCTCGGGGTAAGGAGTCAAAGATATCTGGTTTTCTTTTCAGATTGCATAAACGCGTTCTTTACAGGAAGGATTTTATTACGTCGAGATTAGTGCGGGGAAGTGGATCTCGCATTACTCCGAGGTTAAAAGGATGTCTGGGCTTTATAGGCGCCGTGTTCATGCTATGTTGGGCAGCCTGATTATGTGAGCTGATGGAAGCTAATGAGCGTTGAACAGGAAGTACAAGTATTGAATTGCACCTCAGGCCATTTGTGATCCCTTCCAAGTAAGACAATAAAAGTTTTGCATCAGTCATGCAAACAATTCCCTTAGATTCAGGTTTTAGTCCTGCTGGTCCTCTCAGAGACTGCATTCAACAGGTTCCTATGGCTGGAGCCACCCCCTAGAGAAAAGAACAAAAGCTTGAAACATATTTCTCAAATAAGGAAATATGTGATTACAAATGGAAAAGGAAGGGCATATTCAGTTACCTGACCACCAAATGGGGTAGTTCCACTGTGAAGAGCAAGTATTTACCAATGCAGATTAAAGGTTGAGAGTAAATAAGCTGATGGAAAAAATGAGCCAAGCATTATTGTATGATATCTGGTTTTAGTGTGGCACAGACACTGCCCTCCTCCCTCTCTTGTCCTAGATAAACAAGAACACACATAAAAGTGATTTGATAATGTTACCACTCAGCCGTAATGTTGTCTGTCATCACCGCTTCATTAAACGGACAGCAGGGGAACCTGACAAGCTGTTGGTTTGTCTACCACGAGAACAGAAATGTTGACAAGCCCTAATTGTCTCCAGTGTCTGCCTCTAATGGCCCAGGGGCATCAAACATCCCCTTCAATCAGGGGCTCATACATTCATTTGAAAATGTTTTAGGAACGGCGGTTTCACTCCCAACTTTTAATCGGATATACGTGTGTGTGTGTCTTGTGTACACACAAGTGAACAAAGCACATCTGTAAGCTCCTTTAAGATATTTTAAACTCTTAAAACCAAGCTGAGCTGGAGGGAGGGGGAAAGCTGTGGTTGGGAGGGGGTGGCAGGTAGCTGAATTAACTTGTCACAACATTTTGTAAGTTCTCTGCTGAACACAAGCGCTGCTGCAGCCGAGCTTGAGCGGGTCAATGTCTAAGCCTTGGAAACAGCGTGGTGGGACACAAGGCTGCCTCTCCTCCCTCTGAGAGCTCCGGGCTGCACGCCATTTCGATAACTATGTCGTCTCATTTGTACTCTTGTCCACTCTTCTTGACCAAACCAGTGTGGTGTGTTCATACTGGAAGAGACAAAATTAAGTGAAGTCGAATGGTCAGTATGCAGACTAGACTATGACTTTAAATGCATTGAACCCAAAAATGCATTTAAAATCATAGAGTCCCAAATCCATACTGCACTCATTTTAAGCAGGTTTTGAGTATAAAGTGTGTTCATACTGAGAAAATTACATAATAACGTATACTTAAAAACAGTGAGTCTGCATACTAAAAGTCTACAATGACGTTGGAAGAAAATGGAGCAGCTGCTCTCACAGCTGAGAAAAATCTTCAAATAATTGTGTACGTCGGTGAAACGGCTCCAGAAACACCACAGAAAGCAAAATACGTCTTTGTGAAGTTTAGTTGTCCGTAGTATTCAAGCTGCAGTTTGATGGTGCAAGTATTGTGTCCTTTCTTATTGGTGAAAATGATTTCACTCAACAAAGCAGTGTAATACACACTAGCATATAGTTCACACACTGTGTAGTATGGGTTTGGGACATGTAAAGGGATTGAAGTCAGAATGGTTGAAATCAAATATGTCTAATCAATGGCCCATACTATATAACTGAAGGACTGTTGGTGTAACCTGGTATCCATTTAACTAAGCTGCCTCAGAGCCACACTGGGGTATAGAGCTGAAGGGATCCCCAGAGTACAGCGAGGTGAACTGCTTTTTTTTTTTTAAAAATTTTTTTTTTTTTTTTGGGGGAGCCATTCATGGTTCAAAACCACAGAGCGGACTCTTAAACACAGCCTGCCTCATTCAGACTCGCCCCTTCAACCTGAATGAGCTCATTCTTCACTGGCAGGACTGTAATAACCAAATCCTGCTTTTTGGGTAAACAAATCTTCGTGTGTAAGTCTGTCATTTCTATACTCGTTCTTATTTAGAATTCCTGCACTCAATTGAGGTCCCTTTCTAAATAATATATATTTAATGTATAGTTCATTTACCAACATCTCATCAAGAAACTAAGTCTATTTAGTCAACGGGAGGTTGTTCCCGTGTTGCGTTCATTTAATCAGCAGATTACAAAACACAAATACTCTGTGTTAAGATTATTTAGGAAACCTCGGAGTACTTTATGAGCACATTTACTCCCACGCAGAACAACCAACGCTGCCATGGTGACTCAACCTGCCTGTAAGGAATGAATGAGGGATTAGGTGAAGGGAGAGAAAGAAAGGACTTAAGGCTATATTTATCAGTGCAGCTCGGACAAGCCCTGCTGTGCACGGACGGAGGGAATGCGCTCACTAAAACTTCATCTGCATTGTTTCTCAACTTCATCTTACTTTATGTTGCCAGGGCTCAACACAGAGCACGATGCATTCATGTTCAACAGCTGACTCTGGACCAGTGCTCTTACAGGAATAATTGGATGCGTTGGAGGGATAGATTGATTGATACCAGTATGTGACTCTAAATATGAAGCGACAGACTGGGAGTCCCGCCCCCCCTTACTGTTGCTTTGCTTGTCACACTTTCTGTTCTCACACGGCACATAATGCAGTTTACAGTGAGAACGGTGAAAGATTTACCACTTAAAATGAGTTGTTTGTAGATGAAAGCAGTCTTCTCATTTCTAACTGACATCTATTTTTAACTTTCACTGATGGCTTAATTTGTTTGCTTGCCATAGCTGATCAAATCTATCAGTAGCTAGTAAAACGGATGAGTCTTTTTTTTTTTTTTTTTAAAACCGAACACTGTAAAAGGGTGTTTCATAGCCAAGATGTCGTGATTAAAGAGCGAGGATAAAGCTGCATGCCCAATGGGAGGGTTTAGTGAACAGTCGACACGTTGTAGCTGGTTTAATCTATACAGAGACTGAAGTGTAACAGGTGGGGAGTCTAGTAGTAGTGCTGATGGGATGTTTTTACCTGTTTTGGTAAGCTAGCTGTCTCCCGGGTCTACCTTCATATTCAGCAAGAAAACAAATAAGCATATTTCCTAAAGTACCAAACTATTCATTTTAAATAAATTGACAAACGAATTGTCTGACGAGTACAGTTATCTTGCCCTTAAAAGTTGTTTGATTGCATGGATTTGTGATCAAATCTAGACTGTAAATGAGAGCACAGATCAAGAGTTAACTGTACTTTAACAACTGTTCACATGTGTGTATATTTTAAACGCCATGTTTTGTATTTCACTCTGACCTCTCTGACTTTTCTTTCAGTTTACTTTTAAGTTGTCTTTGTTTCTCGAATGTCATGATGTTTAAAGCAAACTGGTTTCTCACGTCACTTCACATTATGCATTGTTTCTTTGTTTCTTGTTGGTCTCACCTCACTTCTCTGTTCATTGCTTGCAGCCACAGTGCGAAGGTCGCTTGGAAGTCGAGGTAGACGGGGCCTCCGTGTTTTGAGTAGCTGTAGTAGTGAGTACAGTGTTACTAGAAACCCTAGTTTGGTTCTACCTTTTCTCCACTAGTCTACTTCAGCCCTGTCAACACGACCACACAAACTCCATGCAACCACCGGTTGGGTATGAAACAGATTTTTTTCAGGAGTCTCTTTAGTTGCTGCATTTAATGTTGTCAAGTGTGGTGTTCATTCTTTGTTAGATGCTTAATGCCAGGTAATAATGGTTCAAATCTAAAACCATGTACCTCTTTTAAAAATGTCCACTGAGCTTTAAAGGGATCTGACTTTTTAAAAATCTGGATAAACAAGGAATTTAAAGATGGTGGTAAAAGAGGTGAAATATGTATATGAGTGAGAGCGGGGACAGGAATTTGTGTGCGTTTCTGTACACTAGCTAAGCTTAGTATTCATTTTGTAAAAACATGTCTGCAAGTAAAGCTGCTTGATTTGAGATGGAGAACTGTTGAGTCTCTTGTTTCTGAGTTATACACACAGAACACCTACAATATGCTTGGGCTTGCTAAGATTCGTAACACTTACTGACTGTCTGTGTGCCTTTAGGATACCGTCTATGCTTCACTTGACAGTCATTAGTGCTTGAGAAACATTTATAAGAATGCAGACCTGTTTCAGCCTACCTCTAATCGTTTTGGGGATGATGAATTGAGTGTCAGATTGCAGGCCAAGTAAAACAAGACTGAATACTAGTTTTCTTTGTCAGATTAGGCCAGCTGATGCAACTATTTGACATGCTCAGTGGGTGTTTTTAAGAGTTGTTTTTCTCTTAAGAAATAGCCTGTCGACACTAATCCCCTGCGAAGAATAGCCGGTAATGTGAGCTACCTCAAAATATAATAGAAGAGCAGCAAACAATAACAAATTAATCTTTATACAGATTACGGTCTTAAAATCACTCTCAGGCAGCCACTGAATGAACATAATGCCAATACATATGTTTGGATAGCAAAAGCATATTCAACAAGCCTAATTAAACTGTTTATATTTGCATTAGAAATGAAAACTTAAAGGATTACTGTTGCTGGATATTGCATAAGAACTGTGTTACCATATTAAGTAGTTTTAAAATGTGCAGACATGATCGCATTTACAGTATCATTTTATGAAACATAAAAATGCTGCGTCAGTCCAAGCAACTGTCTGCAGATGTGTGCAGGCGATGGAGACCCTTTGCCTCGGCCATGACTCTGCAGTTTCTACCTCCGACTCTGCGTCCCTCTGCAGAGCCACAAATCAACACACACACACACACACACACACTTTGCTGCAGGCATGTCGTTTGCTTCCTGTTCCCTCACACCTGCTGTCCTCTCCACAGAACCTGAGTCGGTGTGCAGTTTCCCAACACGACACACATGAATATAGACATGCATACATTTGTGCACTCGCCATCCCCATTCTTTGGTTTAAGTATGGCGGCCTTCTCACAGACTTCTCCTCTCATCCAATGATTTCACCCAACAAGACCATGTCACCTTCATCATCGGACTAAATCTTTCATCGTAATGCCACTCCACAATGTAAAGTTCACCTTTTGTCATATGCATTCAGGTCGGAAGGGTAATCGATCAAAGCTCAGTAGTTCAGTTTGTTGGATCACAGGCAGGCTTTGCCTCTAGGTAGCAAACTGTCCCACAGTCCTCTCCTCTGCTCACATCACTTGCTCACACTTCATGCACATGGCTACACATATCACATAGTTTATGTGTTTGCTGTTCTGCCACTGCTTTTCCCTCAGATGCACCTTTGTTTTTTTGCAGAAGTGTTATTTGGAGGTCTTCCTGTATGTGGCTTACCTGAGGAGTGTTTGATTTAATTTTCAGGTCCTCGGAAAGGAAGTGGAAATACTGGCTTCCATACTGAGATAAATCCAGCACTCCTCGCTTCCCCTGTCCCCCAGAAACGTGACACGATACTTTTTTTTTTTTTTTTTTGTAGTTTTATTTTGCCGTGTAGTGACTTCAGTTTGCTGGCTTTGAGTTTTGCATTCCCCAATGCTTGCTTCTGTGATGTGACCTTGTTCCTTTGTTTCCTCCTCATGTTGCTGCTCTGTTGCGATGCTGCTGCATCGGTAACAAGCACAATGTTGTGATAAACTCTTGAAAGCAGTGTTGCTTTCAGAGTTTTGCTGTCATGTGAAAATACGTGTTGCTGCATTGACCTGGACGTGTGATATGGAAGTTCACCAACAGGACATCTTTAGTTCCACTTCACACAGTGCAATTCATTTACGTTGCTTGATTTTTAAAAAAAAAAAAAAAAAAAAATATTTTTTTTTTTTTTTCCCTTGATCATTCATTTCAGGAGAATAGAATTATTTCCATTGTCCAGCTCATTGTGTGCACTTACGTACTCATTCGTGATGATGTTAAATGACTTGCAGTGTGAAATTGATTACTCATACAGTGTATTCTTTAGAAGCTCCAAGGATGCCGTCCTCCCATTAACTGTCCTGTATGTCTTCACTCTGCCCCAGCACTCTTGGAAAGTCTCTCTTCCTGGAGTCATTTCCCTGTAATGACTGATGTTTTGCAGCATACATCCATCTCCTTATGGTGTAGTGGTCATTGTGGAAATACAGCTCGAAGGGAGACGCACTGAGGCCCTATTTGTGAAGGCTTATATGTTATCAAAGGCATTTTTTCCTTACGATCATACTTGGCAAGTCATGCAGATGATGTAATGCTGCTTTTGTGAATCTCAGCCCAGAGTGTGTTGAACACAAATGGGTGTTGACATCTTTCAAAGCCCCCATTTGACTCTTAAACTATGCCTTCAGTGGAATTTGAAGTCAAAGGACATTGTTGTTCACATGTCAAAATAGGGCCTCAGACAAGAGTTGAAGCTGGATGACCCAAAGCCACGAATCCACATTACGCATGATCTTTTCTCACTTGTCCGTCTTCGCTCTCCTCCAGGCTCCATCTCGTCCCCGGGGTGGCGCCGAGGTTCTGTGACTCCGCGGGTCACCTCCATCCCATGCCCGGGATGCCAGCACGACATCGACCTCGGCGAGCGCGGCATCAGCATGTTGTTCCGCAACTTTACCCTGGAGAACATCGTCGAGCGCTACCGCCAGGCCGCCCGCGCAGCCATCGCCATCATGTGTAACATCTGTAAGCCTCCACAGCTGCAGGAGGCTACAAAGAGCTGCATGGACTGCAAGGCTAGCTTCTGCAACGAGTGCTTCAAGCTGCACCACCCCTGGGGCACACCCAAAGCTCAGCATGAGTATGTTGGTCCCACCACGAATTTTAGGCCCAAGGCAAGTACCGTCCGTCACTGCCCTGTGAAGGCCTTGTTTGTTTTTTTTTTTGTTTTTTTTCCTCTGTTCGTCTTAGGAAATAACCGATAAACAAACATGATTTTAACTCAGTTGGACTGTGAACATCTCTCAGGAGGTAAGTTGTCACATGAGTCCAAAGTAGACTTTAGCATGTATACATTTATTTAATTATTGAGGAGAATTCAGCTGAAAATCTGTCGCCTTGTGGTTTTCCTGATCATAAATTGATGGTTTGCCTTCTTGATCAGGACTTAAATTATAAAATAGATTATGTAGAAATGGGAACATTTGTGTGAATATTTCTAATCAGATTATTTGAATATTTTATTGATTGTGTTTGGTTTTTCTCCACATCTTCCCCTGTGACTGCCAAATTGATTGGAAATCCAAAACAATCTGAATCATTGATCTTAGGATATTTGAAGCCTTGTTGGAAGCTTGAGTTACTGGCTTTGTCAATATATTGCATTGCTCTGTCCAATCCCTTTGTTAATCAAACGGCTAAATGCGGTCTATGAGAACTTGTAATGGGGATCTTGGCAGTAAAAAAAAAAAAAAGTGCTGATTTTAAGACACTTCAGGAAACGGCTCACAGAGAGCCGTCTAGATGCTTCTAACGTTTAGGCCATGTTCCTGTTTCACTTCAGCTAGTTTTTGATCACTGTAGAAGTAAAATGCAGACACTGTACGTACAGATTTTGTCTGGAATTTGAAGTCCTTGTCGTTCTGTTAAATATCTCAGGTGCTCATGTGCCCAGAGCACGAGATGGAGAAGGTGAACATGTACTGTGAGGTCTGCAGACGACCCGTCTGTCACCTCTGCAAGCTGGGAGGATCCCACGCCAACCACAAAGTCACCTCCATGAGCAGTGCCTATAAGATCCTCAAGGTACCACATTCACACACTTTAGCTCTGTGAGAGAGTCTGCTGCTTGTGAGCGTTAATTCAATACACAGGAATTAGTTTTGTTGCTCTCCGTGATACGGAATGAGTCATTTGGAGTGTAACACAATACTGTTTTATGATGGAAAGGATAACTGTGCTCGATCACAATGCCACTGTTGAAGGCTTTTAATGGAGTGGTGGCCAAGCAAAGCAGCCCTACAACTTGGAATTTTTTGTTTTTACATAGAAGTTGCTAACAACCACTATTTTGTGATGCTATTCAGTACAGATGGATCTTTGTTGTTCTGTGCCGCCCACTGACTGATCCCTGAATCTCTCGTCTCCTGCTGTAATATTGATGTCTGACCCGTACCTGTGCTGGCACCAGATCTTGGATATCGGTCTCTCTCCTTTTGGAAACTGAAACCCAGGCTGGCTAACTGGGTTAAAACTAATTGGTCTCACGTGTGGCCGTCAGATTTGTGCCACGCAGTAGAAACAATTTTCAATCAGTTTGAGTGTTTAGTTTATCCTGTGTGGCGATACAACTGCCAGCAGCAGAGTGGTGCAACAGGTCGAGGCAGAATCTGTGTGAAATTCAATCTGCTTGTGTGTGTGTTGACACAAACACAATGCTGCTTAATATTTAATGCCGCCGTTTGTTTCCCATGACTTTGTGCATCGTCTCTACAAATTGTTGGAAGATGTATCGGATGTCCTGGAATCCTTCGTCAGCCAGGAAGTAGTTTTGAGTTACATTTTGCGTTTAACAGCGACGCACTCAGTCATGTCATTGTGATAGTGAATGTTGTTTGACACACAGCACCCAGTGAAACGGGCTCTCGCTTACATGGTCTTACGGGACACTGCACATGACCAGAACAGCTGCAGCTGTGAATATGATATAAGATGAGAGGAACATGTGACCCTGTCAGAGCCTGGGAATGTGAGCACCAAGTATAAATTGATAAATCCCACCCTATTCATTAAAATGGCACATTAACGATATCTTGTTATTTGACATCTTAGTGCCTTGTCTCTGTGTATGTGCTTCAGATTTTCAAGACCTTATGAAACTTACTTTATATGCTGCTGATCTCTTGTTTCACCAGGAGAAGCTGGCCAAGAGTATCCATTACCTCATCAGCAAAGAGGACCAGGTCCGGACTCAGATTACTGATCTTGAGCTGCTCGTCAGTCAGACCGAGGTAAGATCGCTGACTCATGCTGCTAGAAGTCCTCTTTCCCCCACAAAATCACATCTTATACCTCCCTCATATCTAGTTCAGTTGGTAGCTCTAGAAAGCAGAGTGAACATACAAGTGTTGTCTTTTCTTGAACAATACAAATGTTGGTATAGCTTTTACAAAACCAGTCTGCTAAGTTGAGGAACAATTACAAATTTTCTGTGTACGAATAAGGAAGGTACTCAACAAACGGTATGCAAACCACACAAACAAGGAAGGGAAAGATTTGCCTACTAGTTTCCCTCTGACGTGTCCTTCCCTTTTTTCTTTGATGCTGGTCCTAAATGGGTAGTGTTCAATGCGCCTACGCTTTGGGTGTTTTGTAGGAGTATGTTTGGGATGCTCTCTTAGTTTAAGCACTTTTTGGTCCATTTATCCTTCTCTCTATATACTTAAGTTGTGTAATGTGAACTTTTAAGCTTCTCTTTCCTTGAATATTGCCTAAGAATGGGCGGTGACAGTATATTCCTAAACTCTTAACTGTGGTTATAACTACCTTCAGTCAAAGCAGTTTTAATTCATTAAAACAACCATGATGTTGTTTAATACCTTTAACTGTACTGCCACTGTTGCCTCCTTACTTTAGTAATGGTTGGGAAAACGAAGAACGATCGCAGAGCTACAGGCTGACTCAATACACTGCTCCCTCTGAAGAAATGCTTATAGTGCATGTGTGTTTTGGGAGGGACATGTGAGAATAACTTTTTATTTGCTTTGTACAAATTGATAACAAAATGATCATCTTAAAGGAAAATGGACAGCTAGCAGAGCGTCACGCCAATGAGCACTTTGAGCGCCTGTTTGAGACTCTGCAGGAGAGGAAGTCAGAGATGCTGAAGTCGATCGAACAGTCAAGAACCCGACGCCTGGACCAACTCAAGGTTCAGGTATGAAATACCAGGACGGATTTCTATAGTGGATCCTCTTCATTCATGCACGCTTCCCTTACTCATCATATTCTGAACTGCAGAAAAATAAATCATGCTTTAGTAACCGCCTTCCTTTGTGTCTGTGAACACAGCCTTATTTTATGAGATTTGTTTTTCTGAGGATGCCACTGATTTTAAACAATATTTAAATGCCCTGACTTCTTGAAAATGTCCCAGGTGGAGGAGTACCAGGGCATGCTGGAGAACAGTGGTCTAGTGGGCTACGCTCAGGAGGTGCTGAAAGAGACGGATCAGTCGTGCTTTGTACAGACTGCAAAGCAGCTGCACACCAGGTAGATCTGGGTGATACTGAATTCAATTTGCATTTGCTATTTGCATGTTTTATATTTAGTAATACGGACTCGAGGCCAAGCTGTTAAAATCACATCCTGTTATGTAGCGATAGGGTCATACGCAATCACACGGACGAAAATCCCTTCACGACTAAACTCCCCCTAATCCCAGAAGAGTTCTGATGTCCAATAGTGCGTAATCAACGATGCCTACACTGAGTAGGCATCTCTGGTACTGTGTTAATGATGCATGAATATCAACCTGCTTAAGTTCACGTAATCGAGGTTATTGTTGGCAGACTTATAACATACCAGAATATATGCAGATTGTACTACTTCTTTAAAACACCACTTCAAAGTATTTATCAGTTGTGATTGGATTCAAAGTAGAAAGAAGTCAACAACTAACGTTCATCCTAAGATGGCCCGCGTGCTAAAGCATCACTCAAGTGTCTCGCTTTCCTCCTTCAAGCCAACAACGGGAAGCTGAGCCAGGCCTGATGGCTATTCACAGCTTCCACTTTGAACTGCAGTAAAATGTCAAATTAATAATTAAGCAGCTTAGTAATGATTATCGGATATAATTTTGCTAAACTTGATTGTTTAACAAACTCTACAATCTTGAGTGCGATGAGACTTATTTTTGTGTTGTCCTCTCCTATCGGTGGCGATACCTTAAAGTTTCCCAGTGGATTTCACTGGTGGGATTTGGTCTGTTGATGTTAGTGTTGAGAGCGTCTGTCGGATTATGTGTTCGGATGATTGGAGTGTGTCAGGAACACACAAAGCCACGTGCACAGAGGTTACAAAACTCAAGGGCAGTAAAGGAAAGACTTGTGCTGCAGTGTCCCGTCAGCGCTGTCTTCTGCTCTAAGCTGAGTAATTGATCTCCATTAGCAGCTTTGGATACTCGGGGAAACATTTTCACTCTCGAGCATGATACTGGGGGCCTGTACTGTTTCTCCTGTCGACAAGGACCTTATTTTTATTCCCCTTTTTCAGTTATGAAAGCCAATATAATATAGACACAACTACCTAAATGACACCAGAGTGCAAGCTTGATTTAAAGATGTGGTGGAGCACACCTGATGTATTACAATAGGAATTCCATGCTAGTCAAGATGAGCCTCCATCAATGAATATTTATTTTATTTTTTTTTTTAAATTGTATACGTCGACACGTGTGTTTTCAGGATCCAGAGGGCCACAGAGTCTCTGAGGACCTTCCACCCTGCGTCTGACCCCTGCTTTGATGAGTTTGTGCTGGACACGTCCAGAGAGGAAACTCTGCTGAAAGAGATGTGCTTTGGTGGAGGTACAACCAATTTATTTCAGAGCGCAAGATGCAATATTTACTGTGACACTCTGACTGTGTTAATTTAAAACACGCAAATTCAATTTTAGAACTTGTTTTCTTCACAAATACTTTAAACCTGGAAGTCCTGGCCCAGTTTGAATCGGGAAGTGTTTGCATGTTTTCAGGCTGTTGTGTGACCCCCCCCCCCCCATCTTGTTCTCATTCAGTACACTGCTCCACTGTAGTGTTTGCACACATGTCTCACAGAAACGTTTTGCTAAAGGACAAAACCGCAATAAGAGCTTGACCATAAGTGGCTGGAAAAAGTGATCATTGGTTCATGTCACGAAAATATGGGAACAATCGCTGCTTCTATTCAGCTCTAAAAATGAAGACATTCTTCTTCATGTGTCCTCTAGACACCATGGGAAAACGGGCTTTGTAACGCTGAGTTTTGCGACTTAAAGAAGTTAGTTTAACGGAAAGCAGGCATATGGTCAGAAGGAGCTGATTGTCATCACCTGTCCGTCACATGCACTGCCCTGTGAGCTGTGCTGTGCTAAGAGGTCAGAGGTCATCAGTAGGATGACAGGTACAACCCTGGATGCACTCATAGTGGGTTTTACTGCTCCGTGAAGCTTGTTTCTGGTCTGCTGATTTACAAAGGCTTGTTCTATAAAAGACTGATCAGGTTGAAGTTTCCCAGGAAAGAAAGGATACATACTACTTTCATTGAACTGGCATACTTTGTTTTTTAAAGAAAGTGTATTAGAGGGATTATTACACACCATCTTAGGTATAAGGTGTTATGAGACAGAAAGATAAAAGAAACAAGTAATGGACACTTGACGCTCGGCCAACAGGAATATGCAGATAATATTGCAGCATAGCACTCGGGTGAAATTATTTTTCCAATACAAAGTTAAGAGCCGTACCTTCCCACGATTTTCTGAGAAACAGCTGGTCAGAGTATAGACAACTATTTCTGTTGAATCTCAGAGCTATAAAGGACTGAACAGCTTGGTAGGTAAAACAAAATGTTGTCATGTGTAACAGCAAACCTTTATTGATCATAAAAGTTTCCAAGATCAAAGGTCTGCAGATAATTGAGCAGGTTGCAAAAAAAGTCTAAATAAGGAAGTTAATCACAGTAGTCACAGAAAGATCAGTCTGTCAGTGCCTGACGAGGTGAGTCTTTGACGTTAATCCTGAAGCAGCTGGACTGATGTACGTGTGCGTCAAAACTTTGATGATCAATGTCAGATTAAGCTGTTTGTCATCATGGCTAAAATCCTATTCGCATACTAAAACTGGAGAATTATACACATTACACTACCGTGTATTACTATGCATCCTCAAACTGAACATTATCGCATTAACATAAGCATAGTATGGTGTTTATATTTGATCCACCTGAGTCGCATTCATTCCTTGATTGCATAATGACAGGATTGGGGATTGAGACGTACTCGTTACGACTGAGTGACGGTTTCTGGCTGCGTGTGGCCGAGGCGTGTTTCCTGTCTAACCTGACATTATGCATGTCAGTGACGGGGGGAGAGAGAGCAGTATTGAATATCATTGCTGCAGATAGTGACGGTTGGTTGTGACGGGTCTTTCAGTCTTACTTAGCCAGAGACGGATGACTGGTGTTTGGGGGCATCCTGAAGACAGAGCCCCGTGTAAATGATAAGACGGTCTGTCTCAATACAAAGTAAGCGGTTTAGATTTGAGTGGCGGCTGTGCTTCCAGACAAATGCTGAGGTCCCTTTAGCGTTGAGCCATTAGCCGTCAAGTGGATGCAGCCGAACAACTGACAGTTGTCTCTGTGACTGTTGGTGAGTTTGTGGCTGGTGCAGCCCTGGTGGCTTGTTTAAAATCAGTGATGTGAGATTTATGTCCGAGGCTACTGTTGATTCTGTCTCCACTCACGGGCCAGTGGACTAGAAATGGACCACTTTAAATTATTAGAAGAAACTGTTGGATGATCATCGAACCAATTACAGTGAAGTTGATGGTTTGAAAAGGAAATGCCTTAAAACTTGGTGCTTTCTGAAACATTGGCTACTTTCAAGCGGATAAAATGTTTTTTGTTGCAAACTCGCACTTGAAGAGAAATGATGTGAAAAGTCTAGTTTTACAGAAATAATTCTACATTAGTCTTTGAAGTTGCCCAGTAGGATGTTAAGTCGTTGAAGCAGCAGCTCATTCATGAGACCTAAAGAAAGTAGGATTAAAAAAAGAGGGGAAATTGGTGACGTTGCACAAAATGCAGCAACTGATTGCGTCACCAGATGACAATACACAAGATTGGGCAACCATTTTGAAAGCTGTGGAAGAACATGCGATTTAACCATCTGTGATGAAATTTATGTTTTCATATTTAAATACTTTCATTAACATTTTAAACAGAATTGGCAACAATCTAATCTGCAAACTTTTAACCAGGAAAAATATAAAATCTTTATTGCTGTTATCATATTTTTTGTCTCAATGGTAGTTTGAAACATCTACATTACTTCTTATCTACAGTATTTAAGTGCACACCAAACACCCTTACTATGTAAAGGTTCAGAGTGGATACAAATCTACTTGTGCCAATCCCCAAATTATGTTACACACGCTTTTTCTATTCTGCCGTTTTTCTTTTTGGCCAAACGATTCCCAATACCTTTATTCAGTCCTCTTAGGCTTGTTTAGGGCTGAATGTTCAGCTGTTTGCCTCTTCAGACTTTCCTATAATGCCAACACTGGAGAAAACGGGGTTTTCATATAAGCGTGTACCCTAAACTAATCGCTGCTGCATGCAGCAGTTTGGTGGCACTTACATCGATGTTTGTCTTTGATCTAAGTATCCTGTGGGAGTTACTGATGCTCTTAGTCGGAGCTCAGAGAGCGAAAAGAAGCTGTAGGGGCGTTAATGCACTGCAGTAATTTAATTGAAGTGTTGGCAGATGATGCAGCGGGGAAAAACCACTATTGTATCGCTGGATAGTGCCCCAAAGCTCTTATACATCCTTTTATACAGGAAACTGAAAACGCATCGGTTTATGGAAAAAGCTGAGGCTGATTTTAAAAATGTCAGAACTGACTGCAAAGACCTTGCTATTGTGTTTTGTAAACTATGAGTATATTGCATCCTCGTAGCAGTCAAAGAAAAACACAACTTAATATGCTATTGTCAAGTTTTGAATATGAATGGCAGCCGTCTTGTTGGTGTGTAAAGCTGTATGTCGGATTTTGCTAGCTTGTCCCATGTGTTGTCGTCATATCTTCCCCTCTTGGATAACGGCGTGTTTGTGCTCATGTTATACCAGCTGCAGATTTTGACCCCATGCTCTCTCTCTTGAGAGGCCGTGAAAGACTGTTAAGCGTAACTGCCAGTTTGTGGTCTCTTTCAAGTTGGCGTTTCCTCAGAATGTCAGGCTGAAAGCGTTGCTTCTCTCAACTATTTCCACTTTGAGTCAAAGTTTTAGTTTAATAAATATCCTCTTAAACATGTGACGAGTTGAGAGTCCTGTCTCACATTTGTAGAAGTACAATTGGATTAAAATGGAGACAGGAGAAAGTAATTCCCTGCTGTGTAATTTGTGCTGGCTGCTGTCTGTCTGGCAGCAGCCGATACTGTATGTGATCATCAATGGTGCTTTTTTTCTGTCTCTGAGTGACTGAACTTTGTGACTTCTGCCTGCTGTGTTGGATTGCTGACGGCCCGGTTTGAGTTGTTTTGCCTTTTGGTCCATCTGTTGGGAATGGGTGTAAACATCAAATCTTATTATTCGTAGTTGGCGGCTGGTTAGTTTTGAATAAAGAATCCCCATTATGTGACCAGATAATAAAAAAATAGGAGAAATCAAGACAATGTTTTCATCCCCTCTCCCTCAATGTTAAAATTCACCTCCAAAATCCAATAAGTTTAGTCAAGGCCACTGAAACGGGTCATCTTTATTTTTTATTCTGCATTATTTGATATACCTCTGTAACGCGTCTTCACATACAGAAATGTGACCAACATGGCAGTGTAGTTGTACGTGAAAGTCATTGGGCTATAAGAGGATGCAAGCTCATGAAAGAGTTGCGCCTGGGAGAATAAAGACTTTGGAGACTGACGATTAGCCAACTGACTTTTGAGGCTCGGAAGGCTCTGCGTTAGTGGCGAACTGGTCAGCGAGGGGAGTCTGTCTGTAGGGGGGGGGGGGGGGGGTGCTTCAGAAAGGAGAGATTGGATGTCAAAAGATGAAGTAGAGGGAGAGATTTATTACAAAGGAGATGAGAAGAGTTCTCACAGGGAGAATGAATGAGTTCTGAAAAATAACTTGATCTTAGAGAAAAGACGGTGACCTACATGGTTACAATAATGTAATTCTGGTCCTGGAGAAAACATTGTATTTGGGTATAGAGAACAGGAAATGAAAAGGGGTATTTGTTGACATAAATTAGAGGGTGGGTTGTAGAGTTTAGTCTGTGAAGTTTGATGCGTCACAGGGAGTCTTTACAACCACCAAGAGGAGAGGAAAAAGACAAATGGGATGGAGGGAGCGGGAAAGATGAAAGTGGTCAGAAGCGGCCATGGTAAAGAGATGAAAGGAGGGAAATTGAAGGTGAAAGTGAGAGAGGTGCTGTTGGTGGTGGGGGTTTTACAAAGTGCGTTTCCTGGCAGTGAGGCTATTTGAAAACCTCTTAACGGGCTCCATTATGCAAGGCAGTCTTGTCCATTGTCCTGAGTGGATAGTTCTGATCCCGACAAATCCAATCTTTGCCACACTAGCACTGCGGCATTTGCTTAAACCTAAGATATTGAGCTGAAGCGCTATACTAGGCATGATTAAGACATGGGAGCTTTTACTGGAATTTACTTCTGTGTAAGTTAAGTAGTACTGTAGTCGCCCCCCCCCCCCCCAATTTATGCACAATATCTGTCACCTCTTGCTCATCAACAGAAACAAATTTCTCAGCATTAACCTCCTTTTGTTGGCTGCATTCCAGTATTTTAGATCGTACTTGTTTTACTTAATACACCTCCTATGACCCATGTTATGTTGGTAAAATGTAAACTCGACACGGCAGCAAGACTAACTGGTTATTTTGTGTCTCTTTCCTCCTACTCTCCAGTTCCAGACCCTCCTCTGATTGACTTGTCCAATAGCAGAGTCTATAACGAGGCCTCGATCTGCTGGAGGCTATCCGATGACCACCTGCCTACAGATCACCACATGCTTGAATACCGCAGGTTGGTGCACGCATGCAAAGAAATGACTGCAAGAGAAGAGTGGAGGATCGTGGAGAGCCACTGACGAGCTACATGCTTGAGGTCAAATCCAAACTACTTGATATTTACTGTAAACTCCTTCTCCAGACTCGGGGGCCCGAGCAAGTCTCCGTCCCAGGAGGACAGTGAGGACAGTGGGGTCTGGAGGGCTACAGACAAGGTGTACGGTGCTAGCACTGTGGTGGGTGACCTGGACCCTGACAGCCTGTACTCCTTCAGGGTCCGAAGCTGCAGGAACTCCATGTTCAGCCCCCACAGCCCCGAGGTCACCTTCCACACACCACCTGCACCTGGTAAGCACGAGAGGCGGGGAGAAGTATTCCAGAAATGATCTTTTCTATGTCTGGTACCTTTCCCCCCCATGATGGGTGTATGTGTTCTCGGTCTTTCCTTTGAGTCTTGAGTTGGACCTAAAGGGAACAGAAGAAAGGAGGTGTTGAGGCAACGTGAACATGTCTGTTAGGTTCTTGACGACAAAGTGTTAATGACTTTAAAAAATTGCATAATTTTCTTGGCTTAAACCACAGATTGAATTAATCAAACGTAAGTGCATTTATACACTCATTGACAAACAGTATTTACGTACAGGAGAACAGTACGTTATTGGGCCTCTTTTGGCCGCCGCAGCAGCTGAGCTACTTTTCACTTGAGTGACGGATGCTTTATTGGTTTTAGATTTTGAATTCTCGTGCAGCATTCACGATGGCAGTAATGAAGCACAATGGTGTTTTAGTTTATCACCATGGTAATAGCTTTTGTGTTTGCTATTGCTGAAACCGATATAGCTTCTTTGTGTGGGCGTGGAGGGCGTTGTACAGAGCAACAGCTCGGGAAAGAAACCTGTAGTTGTATCTGTTGCAAGTATTTTAGGCTTGGCTGACAGGTGCAAGGTGGCATTCATTAAACACAATCATCCTCAACCATCTGCTGAACTTGAAGTCAAATAATTTCCTCCCAACAAGGGACTGTCACTTTGATTTATATTCTGCTGGGCAATCATTTCATTGTCCCTTTGGAAAGCTTGCACTGAATATTCATACTCTGGGATTTGCAGAGGTGTTTTCTGTGTTGTCACTTGGTTTTGACGCACTTCAGACTGCACATTTTCCCCTCCTCTGGCAGGAGGCTGCACCAAAATGAGTCTGTTGCACACATGACGCGTTACTTCCTGATCTGATATGGCTGTGCTTTGATGTGTGTCCTGCACAAGCCTTGTCATTTGTGATGGGATTGGAGCTTCCACATTCCTGTGCTCTCTGGTTCGTGTAAGACTGAGTGGATGAATTCACTGTGCGTCAGTAATGAGGTGAAATTTCAGGCCAGGGTGAGAGGCAGAGGACAAAACAAACAATGGATCTCACACACACTACTCATGACAAAGCACAGTTACAGACCACAATTGTTTCTTCTTTTTTTTTTTATTCAGCCATATAATTACAAATTTTTATATTGTGAGGACTTTAAGCAAAGATCTAAGTGATTACATTTTATTGTCGGCGTTAATGTCTTGGTAATTCACTTGGTGAGCAGGATATCTTTCAGTGCTTCAAAGCCCAGCTTTGAGTGAGTATGTTGAACAGCTGACATGGAGTTTGTGGAAGAAGCACTTTGCTGCTGACCTCACAGATTTCAAGGTCTGGTTGAGAGACACACAGTATGTCCCATGTGCTGCCAAGTCATTAACTCGCTGTAAAAAAAAAAAAAGAAATTCACTCTATAAATATCAAGGTCTACTTCTTAACTGGATGCCAAATTATAATATTTCTGCTTTGGGACTAATTTCATGCTAGATTACGTTTGCCCCAATTTTTCTTTTATTATTTATTAAATAATAAGTTACAGTAGCAAGCAGATGTCACAGGTTATTTTGCAACATGGATGTTGCTATCACTGTTGCAAAAAAAAATGAAACTTAAAGACAAGACTTTAATAATTGGACAATGAAGGGTTTTATGCACCCTTTGGCTTATGTCTCTGACATGACGCTGCAAGATAACGGCGGTATCCCAACTAACGTAGCATAAAGCTGCAGCATTGTCTGTCAGTTATACTACTATTATCCTCATGGCCTAGAAGGACCCCAGACACATGCAAATGAGCTGGTTCCTCCCCAGTGTAGACTTCAGATTGTGTTGGATGGTTGAGTGAACAGGCATAATCATGTCAGCCTTCATATATTGTAAGTTATTGTAATTGTGGCCTTTGGCCCATTAACTATTTATAGAATGCATTTAATTGAACCCAGATGATGAATATAAATGGCAGCTGCACACAAGAAATGAGGACTGGATGTCATGGCTTTTCTAAATGGTGTGATGATGGAAAGTAGTTCTTTGCTTAGCTCTTTAACATTGTGCTATATCGCCCTCATGTGGCAGCTCTTGTCACCTACACAGCTCTAAACCTGTTTATTCCTCAACAGAGGAGAAACAACTGCCTTTTGTACAAATTGTATGCCCTCACAAGATTATTTTAATATTTTTCTTGACAACGTACTAACTTTTTCCTCATTTTACCCTTTCTGGTTTTCTCTTGTCAACCTCTTCCTGTGTTTTGTCCACCTTTTCTGTCTTGTCTTCTCTTCCATTCGTCTATCCTCTGGCTCATTCACTCCCTACCTCTTCACATACAGCTTTTGGTTTCCTGTTCAGCGACAAGTGTGGCTTCAGTACGGATCGCCTCATTCTCAACAAGCGACGGGACACTGTGGAGAGCGTAGCAAGCATGGCCTTCCTCCTTGCAGCAGAGCGTGTGCAGACGGGCAGCTACATTGGCCTGGACTACATAATTGGGGACACGGGCATCTCTCAGGGAAGGTATGCCAAAAACTGACAACAGAGGCTTTGTACAAAGAAGTTGTGTCCAGCAGTATGGTTAATTTGCAACGTTGCTGTTACAAAGGGAGTGATTTTGTCGAATGGACAGAGCTGCACAAACATTAGCCAATTAGAGCTAAATTGAGGCAAAAACTACAAAACACAGGAAGTGTAGCGCACAACGTGGAAGCCCTCTGGCATCTTGCTCATTAGACTGACAATATGTCATGCTGTCTGGATATGAAATACTTAAGAGACACAAAGCAGAGATAAAACTATTTTTGAGCACAAGGTGGTGGGATTATTAAACCGTCTTCATCAATATCCACCAGAGGACAAATATAAACAGTATTCAACAGGTCGTCACATTGTCCAGTCCTGCAGTAATAACCGTTGTTTTGTTTTGCAGACACTATTGGGCCTTCAAGGTGGAGCCGTACTGCTACATGGTTAAAGTTGGGGTGGCCTCTGACTCAAAGCTGCTTGAATGGTTTCACAATCCCAGAGACACCAGCAGCCCGAGGTAAGAGCACGCACATGATGGTTATCTATCTGTCAATGTGGTGACACTGAAACCAAGTTTTACATATTCTATTTATCTTTACCTCTACATACCTGCAGTACACCCACACGCAAACAATCGCAGCACAGAGATAAGTGTGTTTGAGTCATACCTAATCCGGTGATGTAAGAGAACCAGTATAAACTCGTAAAGAGCTTAGTCTCAGACAAAGCTGCCTTTCTCGCTGGATCAGCTCATGTAAAGGCATGTAGAGAACCACATTTATTTATGCAAAAACATTTTGATTCTATGGAAATGACATAATGCATGCAAGGTGATGAACACCGGGCAGCATTCAACTAGTCGTGTGAGGTAGAGTATGTTTTGATTTTATTTTATTCACCCTCTTTTAAAGGAATGGCTAAGTATAAATAATAGCAGTCTTTTTGGTGTAATAAAGCTAACATGACTCTGCAAATGCATTAACTATGGAAATTGTTCCAGGTTCATTTTCTATCAATCAATTATTTTCCAAAAATCCCTTTTTTTAAATGTGATTATCAATATTTGTCGTTTTTGTTTTTTTTCTTCCTTCGTAAATTGAATGTATGTTTTGGAGCAAACGTTTCAAGATATTGGTTTGGGAAATTTGACATTTTACTAAATTAAGACTTTAAAAAATACCCGGCAGATAAATTGATAATGAAAGTAATAGTTTTAGCTTTAATTTGGGCAGATCATTACTGTGCTCTCTATTTTACACAGGATTATGATTCTGGCTTTGACGTAGGTTACAAAACATTTTATACAAACTAACAACCTCATCTCTGTGTCCATCTATCCCCCCTCTTCTTCCTCTTCCATTCACCAGGTGTGACCATGATAGTGGGCATGACAGCGGCAGTGAAGACGCATGCTATGAGCTCTCCCAGCCCTTCACCCTCCTCACCATTGGGATGGGCAAACTCTTCATCCCCAAGACTTCCTCATCCTCCACAGCAAACGCAACGTCTGGAGACCCCGGCAACCGCGTGCTCCCCATGCCACAGCGCTTGGGTGTTTGCCTAGATTACGATGCATGCCGGGTGTTCTTCTACGACGCCGACACCATGAGGTGCCTTTATGAGAGGCAGGTGGATTGTTCGGGAACAATGTATCCAGCTTTCGGGCTCATGGGCAGCGGCAAGGTTCAACTGGAAGAGTTCACCACCGCTAAGAGGCTGACCTTCTGAGGAGAGATGGAGCATGTGGATGCATTGGGAACTGCATGTTCTGGGAAGATTTTAATGACAGGGTGGAGTACAATCCAAATAGTTTTTGATGAAGTCGGATGTGAGCAGGGCCTTCAGTCCTAAATGTGAAAATGGGATCTCTGCCAGAGACTGACCCATTTACAGTTGGCATGTATAATGTATGATCCATACACAAGTGTCCACATACAAAGGTCTTCAGAGGTTGGTATGTGACAGATCTTCTCTACATACCAAAGTCTCTGTATTTGACCTGGTTTTAATTGATCAGCTGTTAATCTAGTGGAATTAGCTGCAATTAGTCTGCAGCTACTTTGAATCTTTGTTTTTAACATGAAACGCCTTTGAGCTTACAGTTCCACTTCCTCTTTTGCCAGGTATATGTTGATAGATTCATTTGTGAGTAGTAATTATTGGGTGGTTTTTATTTTGTTGGGCTCTTTAACTATTTGTCTAAAAGTAGCAGCATAGGTTTAGATGTAATCATGGTGGACCTAAGAGCCTTGTAGCTACTATACAGCTAGCGCCTTTGTGCCTTTTTTCTTTTTTTTTTTTTTTAAGGAAATGGGTCCCTTAGTTTGCTCTAGCAAGCAGATGTTGGTGTCATTGCACAAGCATTATGGAGATACTTATCATAAATGCTTTATGTGGGTTTTTATTGTGGGTAGTTTCATCACAGACAGGGTGTCAAAGTTATAAATGTTAATGGTATTCTCTATACTTCCCTTTTTCCTCTTGACTTGATCACAGAAAACACTACCGTTCCTCCTCGTCACAGTTGTGTTCAGCTGTTTTTGCACAATATTATGAATGAAGCCTCACATATGATAATTTTAACAATCGTCACGTTTTGATCACTACCTAGTTAGCTGCTTCACTTTTAAGCGTTGCAGACATAATCAGCACATTAATGTCTCACAGTGACTGTCGCACTCTCAAAAGCGGTTCACCTTTTACTACATCAATGTAAATCCTGGAGTAGCTCCTTGGATTTTAAAGCCTCTCACTGTTTGCACAGCACTGAATGTGACTCATGCACTATAAAATCAGCCAGGTACCAGAACACTGCACTCGTAGTCAACGTCAGCTACACAGCTGCAAAGTCACTAATAGCCAAAGTGCGTAGGAAGTCGAGGTGCTGACTCGCCACTCTGTGGCCTAGCAGCCTTCAACTGTTTTAAAACACACAAATGCAGTTCTTCAGGTTCTTACAATAAGTGCTATCACAAAACACACGGTTCAGTACTTTTTTTAACTATCAAAACCACCGTTGACTTGCAGTGCAGATGCATAAAGTGTAGCATATTACTGTGTCACTGGTGAGATGGGCTGTCGGACAGATCACATGAGTAGTTGATTGGCTTTTCTTTAAATCAGCGCAGATATTCAAGGCTAAGAGGGCACGCTAGACAGACCGTTTGCTGCTGCACCACACTTAGTTTTTGTACAAGCGTATACTGCATCTCTGCCTGCACATGGGTTTGTTTGTACATTCATGTATATTTTGATTTCTGGAGGATTAGGGTAATCGCTGTGTGTTTTCTCAGGTTTCTGGCCCTGATTGGGGCCTAATGCTACCTACCTCTGTCCATCAGGCCTGGGAAACCTTAACTGCTGTACCTTTCCTCACAGAAACAAGTTGGGTTTGATTTTCAGCTTTGTCCGTCAGTCACTTCAATATCTCCGCCTTCTCGTTGTCAGATTATAAAGTGATTTTTCTAAATGTTTGATTTAATTTCCATGTACGTGTTAATCCAGAGTTTATTGTTTTCAGTGAAATAAAGTAAATCTTAAATGTTTCATTAGTTGGTGTTTGCTTGTGGGCTTGAAAGGTGTGTGTGTGTGTGTGTGTGTGTGTGTGTGTGTGTGTGTGTGTGTGTGTGTGTGTGTGTGTGTGTGTGTGTGTGTGTGTGTGTGTGTGTGTGTGTGTGTCACTATTAGTAGAAGGTATTGTAATCAGGTGTTCAACTGCCTTTGTCAAGGGAGTGCTTTTCAAATGGTACTAACCATTTCTTCTTCTGCTTTTTTGTGGTGTTGGTTTGATAAATCGGTTGAAATGTTTTGGCTGTATAATGTGAAGCACATTGTGGGTTTTGGGGTTAAAACATTTCATGAATTCATGCTTTTACAGCTGGACAAACATTCTCCAGTTTAAAAAAAGTATTTATAGGATTTGTGTAACTGCATTTGATCTTGCCGGTGTTTCTGTGAATTACTCTCACGGACCTGAACCTTGATTCCCATATTTTAAAATGGACTGTCAACATCTTTTAAACAAGTCTATGCATTTATGAATTTGCAGGTTCAGGGTTTTATTTCCGTCACAATGCATTCCTGTTAATGACGGAACAAACGGGTGAATGTTGGTTTGTTCCACTGAGTCACAGCACACTCGACTACAATTTAAGGTTGTGGTTCTAGAAATCTGATAATTGCGACATCTCATCTAAAATTATAATGCATCCTGGCCTTTTTTTCATTAATGTACAACCAACTATTTAGCAGGCTGGCTCTCAATCTATTTCCAAGCTTGTACTTTACAAAATCTGTAGCATGTCGGCAGTTGTTTGGCTCTGCAGGTGTGTATAATGCGTGTGTGTGCAATATTGTTATTAAACAGGCTGTAGAAAAGTTTAGAACTAGGCATATCAAGTAGATTTGCACTCTAATTAGTTTACTTTGTGGTTTTAAATGGGCTTTTCCTTAATACAAACTTTAAACACTACTTGACTTGTAAACTCAAATTGTTCTGAACTCTAAATTAGTGACATTTGTCCGTTTGTTTTCTCCAGAGCATTTGGATGTGGTGTGTACGTGGTGGCTTTCTGTACGTAAAGATGTGGAAATGTTCTTTGCTATGATTCCTGGAAAATGCTACACTTTATAATTTGCTGTGTATTTCATTAAATAAAACTAGTGTTTTTAAATCTTGTTTTGTCTCTTTAATCACATATTTGCGCTGTTTTGTAGTTTCACTCTGATTAACCTAACTGCTGTAGCATGTGAACATGTTAAGGCAGTGCCTGGCAGAAGTCACAACCCAAAAACATAACTTGGTGCCATTTAACATCCCTTCTATTCTTGCTTTTTCATGCTTCTTTTTGTACCTGTATTTTTGTATTCTATTTACTAATCTCTCTGCAATGATCAATTTCCATGCATCGGGTGAAGTATGCCTTATCTTAGTTGATACAAACGTAGCATATGACGTAAGAACAAGATTTAAAGTGAAAGTCAAATCCATTCACTATAAGGTTGCAGCTGAATCCATATTTATATATTCTATTTCATGAGCTATGTATGAAGGGAATCGATTACGGATGGGTTTATTGATGGTATTCGCCACAGAAACATCGACTTGTCCATCCACCTGCTGCAGGATGCTGAGCTGTGGGAGGAGGAGGAGGACGTCACACCGTGCACGCTCGCGCCCTGTCGTTGCAACGCGGAAGCGACGGAGGAGGAAAAGAGACTCCACGTCACTGAGGTGTAATATCGGCGTCAGTGCTACCTCAGTGCGATTCCAGTCCCATTGTACACTTCAAGATATCCTCGCCTGGGTTATAATAACTCGTATGACCGCAGAGGGAAGATATACTCCGCTGTTTCTGCACAGCGCGGCGTCGGTAGAGGAATCCGCTGAAGGTAACGTACCTTAACGGACGGCTGAGTCTGTTTTGTCCGCTGCCTGCTAGCCAGTCCGGGCTGAACCGGCGGGACGGTGCCTGCTACAGTATTTCCTCTGAGCACCGGTGACCTTTACAGCCTGAAGAAAGCGATGCACGGCGTTGTGTTGATGTATTATCTGCAGGGGCCATTAGCGCCACGGCTTACTCGCGACGGCTGAGTGTCGGTGAATTGACCCAGCTAGCTAGTGTGGATTTAAGGTCGACGGGCTTCTGTACGCGTTGTTGACGTTTCGCTTTGACAGCTGCTGGAGTGCAGCTGGGCTGCTGCTGGTGACATGCATTTACGTTCCTGCATCTGATCTCATGCAAACTGTATAATATGATAACTGGCTATAGCCAAGACGTGGACGGAATACAAACAAAAGCAAGCGGGCCCGTTGGACAGTTGTAGAAACTGTGCTGTAAGCACACAGTAACAACATGCTAAGGCCCTATTCATTGACTTCTGATGCTTTATACTAACCCATAATCACTAATCATTGTACTGTAAATACAAGAAACATATTGCACATGGATAAGTCATCATTCTAGCGTGTGCCATGCCATTGTTTAATGCAATAACATCATATCATTGTCTCATATACATGAGTTCAATACTATGACTTGTCAACATTATAAGGAAGGGAGTGTGTTCACCATCTCTTACATATCCAAGACACACATCTATGTTTATATCAATAAAAAATATAATACATTGTAGATTATTTTATCCTTTTAAATTTCCATCCCAGCATTATCTTCTTTAGCACTTCTGTATATTTGTGTTTTCCGTATTTGCAGTGTGTCTCTCTATGTTGTTGGTGAATGTTTTACTCAGTCAGTTTGCATGGGTTCTCTATTTATTTGCATCATGTTCTCTAAATTCTATTTACTTTACGAAGCCCTTGATTATGCTTTTCGCATGTGTTTCCCATAAGTTGCAGTGTGTTTCTCCGCCTTTCATTGTTAACACGTGCTGTATCAAGATGTCTTGGGATGTGTAGTCTGAATTAGGTTTTGTAGTCTGCAGTTGTCTTTTTTTTTTCTCAGCTTTTTGGTAAACAAACAAACAAGTGAGAAATTGTAGTTTCTTGTTTCTTCAGTGAGCCCAAACCAGATGGTTGTGATATGTTCAGAGAAGCCATGTTTCTGTTGGGCCAAAGGTGAGAGAACACAATCCACGTTTGAGTCCCTGGTTTAAAAAGGAGTCCTCTTGCTCAAGATATAGCTTGTTGTTTTCACCACATGTCATGGCTTGCAAAGATAAGGTCAGCAGTTCTGTTATGCAATGCCTCACATAGGTCGCAGAAGTAATATGTTAATGTCCATAGATTAAGGGACAATAGATTTGTCATATTCTGATAAGCTGTTTATTGTATGATGACTTAAATGTATCTTATATTTGTGTTTCCTGGTATTTTATTGTTGTACCTGAGTTTAATGGACAGTGGACAGAAATATTGAGATATTTAGATTTGATGATATCACCCATCCCATCATTGAAGCCAGCTAACTCCCTAAAGCATATTATTGTCTGTATTCAGCCAGGAGTAAGAGCAGCAGTACAGTGGTGCCTAATATGTACTCTTCCATTACATGCATTACAAGATTGTGGTTTGTTTATAATGTGTAGTTGTTGTGGAAAAACTCCGAGTGAGAACCTGTTTTATAGGGAACACCCAGTTACACCCCATACACACCTTTTACTCTGTCAAACCAACAGATAATCATGAATCATGAAATAGGAATTTGGACCCATACATTAGCCTCCTGATTTATCGTATAACTGGTGTAGGCTCAGTGTGCTGAGACGATACCAACTACACAGCGCTGCAGGAATAGACGACGTCGAGCTAAGATGGATATTTGGCGCACGCTGTGATCATTAGGAGCATGGCGGGGGGGCTCCCCTGAACTCCTAGAGCTGTTCATTTCAAAACAATGCATTACCAACATAGTTTGTGTATTGTTTGTTGAAATTACATCGCAACACTCTGTGTTTGAAATGGAAAGATGGCGTTACAATCGAGTATAATGGTGCTCTGCGCTTTGTTATTCAACACTATCACTGTCTGCAGTATAAAGCAAAGGGAAGAGGAACTGAGATGAGACTTTTATTGCTTCTCCATCACAGGTCGACTCGCTTCTTGTGCAGCGGCAGACCAGTGAGGAAGTAAGCTCCTGCTTCAGTGCAGTACTTCCTCTCTAGCTCCTCTTTCTGTCAGCTTTAAACGTGGACAGGCTTCATAGTGAGTTAGCCCGCCCCTTTATCACATAGTGATTTTGTATGATGCTGGTTCACCAGGACTGACACCTGTAAGCCATCACTTACCAGAGTTTTGTTATTATTACGCGATTGGTTGGCGGTGTCCTCAATCTATTTTAATCTCCAGCTCATGACTTGGAGGATGTTTACCTTGTCTTCATGAGCCGGGTCAGAGGGCCATGGCCTGGTCATAATGTCTGTGTGGCGGAATAAGCAGCTAAGCTGAAGCGCGACTGAACTGCTGGCTCATCCGAAAAACAGGAAGTCTCCAATGTGTTTCTAAAGGCTTGTAACCTGCGGTGTGTTTTGACCTGCACACACAGCTGTAAGTGATCCAGGACGGACAGAACAAAGTATAACTGCATTCTGTTATGTGTTATGTACGTGTCTATTGTTCACTGTGTCATTACTGTTAATGTTTTATGGCTTCCTCTGTCTCTGGCAGTATTCATTGACTCTTTTTATGCGTTATGCTGGGACGTACCTTTGTATGAAAATAGAAACCGCATCACTGTTTATTCAGAACTTGATCAAATTTACTTTCAAGGAGGCGACACACTCATAATCCACTTCAGTAAAGGGTGTTAATGTAATCTTGTTACACAGTGATCGAAAACAAAGTGCTTCAGCAAGCTCTCGCAGAGGCAGCTTCTTCACCGGTACAAGGACGGCGTAGTCACTGTTTGGCTAAATCATCGCAGAAAATAATGAATACGTGAGTATTTACCGAAACAAATGTCTCTCTGTTAATCTGTGACGTTAACGCTGAGAAGCAGAGAGACAATATGAGCTCTAATTTCATTTGTTTTGAAGAGCTTGCTGATTGTAAAATGTATACAGACTTTTGTAAATGGAGATTACATGAGGCGCAGTGAGTGTTGTAGCCTTACAAGCTCAGGTTTTACTCTCAGAGACAGTTGATGCAAGTTGGTTGTTAATATGGTGAACGTCTCTGAGCCACAGGCCAGGAAATGAAGGCTCGTCGTAACTTTTCTCAGTCTCTATCGCGGCGCTTTTGTTTGAGATGATAATCTTTAAATCGGACTCTCACTTTGCTTTTTTTCTTCTTTTACATGTTTTGCTTTCAAACCAGTCAGTAACTGATTTAAGCAGTACATACACAACATGCTTGGGAGCACAGAGTAGTAGGAATGTATCAGAATCAGCACTTTTTTGTATTTGAGTTATGAGCACCTCCATAGGAATACTTGTAATAAGTACTGCCTTTTGATTTCCCCCCTCTCTCTGTGTCTCTCGCTCTCCCTCTGGGTCAGTCCTGTCTCTTCATGATTTAGCTGTCAGATACATGTTAATTGTGATATGTGGCATGTCAAAGAGAAGTCAGCCCTCCAGCTCTCACACCTGCAGTCATCACATGCACGTACAGACTTTCTTTTTATCCTCAGACTGAACTAGAATACACCGTCTTTGGGGCATAAGCTCTGAGCTTTGCTACAGATGCATGTTGTTTTACCTCATCACAAATATATGAATAACTGTGTTGCCTCTTTTGTTTAGTGGAATATGTCAGATGGCAGGGAGGGTTAGAGTTAAAAATACGGATATACCAGAACTCAGAACTCCACCATCGCACGGAATCTTTAATATGCTCTGTACTTTCAGAGTTGATAACCACGTTTATATCTAAGCCAAAAGAAATTTGAAATGATTTTTCATTTTTTTGCCTTTTAAAGTTTCAGGCAGTTAAAGTGCTTTCATCACACACACTTCACAGGGAGTCTAGGAGCAGCATTGTAAACAGCACTGTTTTTGTTTACACATGAAATATCCAAAAAATCCTTCACATATGACACCATGAGCTGCAACAGAAGCATCTGCAGCAACAACTTGTTCTGACTCATTCAGCGTGGGGGATGTGATCTGTTAGTGTGAGACTTCTCACGTTAAACAGTCTGTAGGCTGAGGCTCCTTTTATTTATATTTTGGAAAATCATTTTATAGGTCAGTGAATTTGAGCTTTCTTGCCTGCCGCATTAGAGAACATATCTCATGTTCAAACTTGAGTTCCAAATGTTTCTTGTGTGTGTGCTCCCTCAGAGTACCCTGCCGCCTCAGCTCCTAAATGGGTGAGTCGGGGTCACGCCGTTCCACACTCGTGTCCCGCCTGCCGATTTTCCGCCGCAGCAGCAGCAAGAGGCAGGAGTCTCTCCCCTCCTCTCCGTCTTCGGGCGGACAGGGCAATGGCGTCCACACCTCTTCGCCCTCCAGCACCAACTCCAGTTCTGGCAGTACTGGGAAACGCCGGAGCCTTTTCCGAGCCCCGTCCCTCAGTTTCTCGGCTAAACGGAACAGCGAGCCGCGTGTCCAGCCCATCAACCTAAACCTCACCCCCCCGCTGACACAGAGCACCGATGCCAATGGGAATAACCAGCAGACGATAACGGCGTCGTCGCCGTCAGCGGGATTCAGTGAAGGTGGCGGACGGCCCAAGTCGCGCCACTCATTTGGGTTTGGCAGCCACAAGCAGAAGAAGATCACGCGCTCTCAGACCGAGGATTTTGAGAAAGTGTCCTCTTCCTCCTCCACAAATAATCGAAATGTATTTATAAACTGCATCAGCGGCTCGGGGGCCAACGAGGGTGACGACTCCGGGTTCCTCGATGACTACAGCGGCGGGGGGAGTAGCAACACTAAACGGTCGTCACGGAAGAAACAGCTGCTGCCCAAATCTTTCTCAGCTCACCACCGTTTCTCCCGGAACTCTGATCACCACAGACCTCCAGAAGTGAACCTGGAACCCCCGAGCGCCACCAATATCGCCCCGGCGGCGGGGGGGCTCACCCCAGGGTCGTGGTCAGGAGAGTTGCTTGGTGCCGGAGGTGAAAGCTCACTGCAGTCCCCTATGATATCAGAAGACCGAACCACAGCCATCACCCCTTCAGAGTTCATCCCCATCACGGAGGATTCTGCATCCGAGGCGGATGCCCTGCCAGCTCCCAGCCCCGGGTGTGGTTTAGCCCCAGGATCTGCCTCTGGGCCTGGGCCGGCTATTGACACAGCTCCACCTGAAGCCCCGCCTGCTGCAGAGACCTTCAGCTTGGCTGTCTCTACCTCACAGGTAAGTGTGCTTACATTTTGACAAAGTAAATGCTGAATGATCTGAACAATAACATCTTCCTGCTTGTAAACCATACAAACAGGAATTTATTCATAAATATTTTTACATCAGTGCTTCAGGAATAGACAATTCAACCACAGGTGCCCTTGGAATGTCAAGAACAAAAATAAACAAACATAAAGGAGGAATATTTATGACCACTGTGTGAAATCTGTGAAATGTGGCATAACAATTGAGCACCGGGGCATGAAAAGTCCTTTTATTGAAAGAGCTAAGGCATGAGAAAGAAAAGCCACGCATGTATGAACTGCCCTCCATATTTCACACCTTTGTGCTCACAACTTTTCCTCCTTCACAGACTATTCTATTTCATGTTCTGGTAGAGGAGGGGAACCAACCCCCCAGTGTTTTCAGAGAAAAGCCTTCAGTGCTGTTATTGCTCTGTGCTCAATGAAGAAACAATATTGTCTAGTTCTGATCATAGAAGATAAAGAGGAGGGAACTCCAGAAAAGAAACCATTTATGTAGTTGAACAACTGCAAAGACACAGCTCTGCACTTCGGAGGCCATTAATAAGTATATACACACAAATATCCACCTACTAAATGCGTGCTCAAGTGGGTTCTTCCCTCTGTCAACGTTTTGCCTCATTGGAGATCACAAATGTTCTTGTATTTGCCATTGACGCATGTTCCGTTTTTACACATTCTCAAAAAAATGTCCTCTGTTCAGGTTTTCTTCACTCCAGCCCAGTCCAGCGCTGAGAAACCTTTACTCCCCGACGCCAGCACAGCAAACAACACGGACTATGAGACTGCCATTTCCCTCTCAGAGCCTGAGACAGCTGTCCCCTGCCTACCTCTGCGGGAACAATCGCTGGAAGAGAGGAAGGAAAGAGAGGAAGAGAGAAAGGAAGCCATGGATGAGGTGTCAGCAGAGGAGAGGATTGAGCTGGTGGAGGAGAGGAAGGCCAGTGTCCACAAAGAGACCACGAGTGAGAGCGAGGCGTGTGGTGCGGTACGCAGCGAGGGTTGTCACTCTAATCCAGAGCAATCGGAAAGACGGGCGAGAAACGTGCGCTCTATTCAAGAGAGAGGAAGTTTCTGCGGCTGCCACGAACCAAGGTCCTCTCATTTGAGGAAACCACATGCAGGTATGAAACTCACACAAACACTTAGATGAGTCACAAATTTACATGCAGAGCCACAGACAGGCAGAAAACAGGGGCAAGAAAAATAATAACCATAATTTGGTGTCGTTGAGAGATGCTCCTAATCTGGTGTTATGCATCTTTAACTTCCTAACTTCCTGACTCTACCTCTAAGCGGCTTATTTCAATAATAATAGAAGAATTTATTTCCTAATCATTTGAATTGCGTGTTTTTATGTTAATGAACACTATATATGACAATAACAAAGTAAAAGGACTTATGACCCCACATGATAACTTTGACACACACACGGACACAAACTTGGCTTCTGTACTTGTTTGACAAGCGTGCTGCTTGCTAATATTTGAATTACATTTACCAGAATTTAGTTTACCAGTTAAAGTTTTGGTAATGTTCATTCATAAATATGTCACTATTATCTATGTTTTCATCAAAAACATTCACAATAATCTCTATCAAAATGAGTTTAATGGGAATAACATTTATAAGGCAGTTGAAGTGACAGCTCCTTCCCTGTTGATGGGTTTTATTTCCTCCTTATGACTGAACAAGTGAACACGTGAACAAGTGTGAACAGCATATCCAATAGTTCATTCCTGCGCCTCTCAAGGAGATTCCCACAGGAAACTGGTAAATGGAGGTGGTGCAAACTGGGCTAATCATAATCAAAGTATTCTTATACCCTTGTCTTACTCAGCTTGTTTTTCCAATTTCCAAATTCTTTGTGAAATCAAAATTCTGATAAAAATTGAGGATGTTTCCAAACATTACAAGAAAAATAAATAAAGCTTGAAAAATGTATTTAAAACTCTTGTATCTTTCACTTCTAGCTGTAGCTCAGACAGTCAATCTGAAAAAGATGCCTTCAGTCCAACAAATCAATGGCAGTTGTGGGGTGACAGTAGTGCAACAGTGTGTGTGTCATACTGACAGTTTATTGCTGAACCGAAGATGATTTGTTACAATCCTCCATCTTTCTTCTTCAGCTGCTGTAACACATTGCAAAGGATTTCTTTTTTTTTTAGCCAAATGCCACTAATGTTCTGCTTCCACTGCAGTATATTGCAATTCTTTCTTGCAGGACAATAGCTGAATATTATATGTGATATATTGGTGAATATTTATCTTCCAGTTAGCAGGATCTACAGACAGAATACAGCGATTAAGCAGCGATAATATTGAAGAAAATAATAGACGCCATCACACCTCATCTGCTAGAAAGTTCCCTTTCCGCTGAATGTGTGCCTGACCTCTTTAAGATGGCTTTCTGCCACTTCTGAAAGGGCCCACAGCATACAAAACTTACACACAATTTCTAAGTTGTCATTCATTTCAAAATATCAGAGAGGGTCGTTTTGACGCAATTTTAGGAGGAACAAGGACACGATGAAAGTTTTAAAGCTACACTTTCTTTCTTGCGACAAATGACTTATTGCTGGCTGCAGATTCTGGACATTGTTCTATCGTAGTGCTGCTGGACTGTGGGTAGGAATCACTGGAGGTGCTCTGGCTTGATGTTGGATTCAGAACATCATAAAGTACAGATGCAGTCGTACCTTGGTACTACCTTACTTACAATGTTAAGTCTGGAGCAAAGAACCTTTTGATAGACAGTTATCCTTTGAGCAGCATACCAGGAGTTACAGGAACGTGTTTTTATCCAAAAAGAAAGATCTCCAAGATAAGATACATGTTTTAAACCAATCATACATCTTTTCATATCATCACGCCTGGAGTACTGCAACTCTATTTTTACCTGTTTAAACTCCCACTCGGTCACACAGTTGCAATTTATCCAGAACTCAGCCGCCAGATTATTAAGTAAATCTTGGAGGTCTCATCATATCATTCCAATCTTAGCATCAATGAGCTGGCTGCCCATTATGTTTAATACATTTTAAGATTTTGTTAACTGCCCACAAGGCCATCCGCCATCCGCTGTCTGGCTCCAGATTATATTAAATACGTTTTAACCCCTCACAGCCCAGCCAGGCCACTAAAACCAGATGATTTATTTCAACTTCATTGTCATTAAATATTAAAATTGTGCTTGTTTTAGTATCGTCGTTTTTGTACTTACCATATATTTGGCACTTTTATCTGTTTTTTTCCTGCTTTTTATATCTGCTTTAAATGAGATCATTAGTTGTTTTTTACGAGATCGCCTCTTCATATTTGCATCTTATTTATTATTTACAGGTTATTTCCTTTACTTAAATTTGCACCTCCATCTGTTTATGTATGGGCTCAGTGCTGCTTGACTTAACTGCTCTCATGACCCGCGTTGTTTATTTTGTATTATTCTGTAAATCTTTTAATCTGGAAATAACTTTTTGCTAAAGCTTTAAAAGTGATATATGAATAAAAGTATTATTAGCAGTTTTTAAACAGGGTGAGCTTGTCGGTTGGACTCCACAAAAGAGAATTTGACTATATTCATTTTAGCAAAGAGCATCACGGGCCTCTGGTATGTGGGCCCCCGTGTCTGAATTTACTTTCTTGTCTCAGCCTCGAGTAAAATGGTTGAATACACAAGGAGACATGGTGACCATTAGGCTTTCTCAATGTTTTGTTTTGCTCAGTGCGAAGCCCAAAAAAGTGCAAATAACCATTATTTTTGTTCAGAGTGAGTTCACAAGAACAAAGACAAGGAGACAAACACATAAACATAGGGGACACGTGGCTGCGTGCATGTGTCAGTGTGTGTGTGTGTGTGTGTGTGTGTGTGTGTGTGTGTGAGAGAGAGAGAAAAAGGTTGGCATGAAGTGCTGTTTTTAACAAATGTCATAGAACCTTTTGCTGAAGTAGATGACGTGGCGTTGTCTGTCTGTTTTCACATCTATCTCTGATCAAAATAGAGCAATATAGCAATCTTCTGTTTGTCTGACTGAACAGTATTGCACTTGAACTCTCACATTCATTCTCTAGTTGTATTGATATACAGCAAGCTTGGTGTATAAAACTTTCTTTTATTACAAAACATGCATAAATAGCATTTTACCAAAAGCAATATGGCCAAAGAGCTTCAGAAAGGGAAGACTTGACTCAATTTAAAATGCCCTATGAGTAAGAGCTGTTTCGTCATTACATTTTCATGAAGAAACCTTTTTCCTACAGAAAATGGGGCTGACTGCCACCAGTTGGAAATATATTAAAAATATGGTGACGTCTCAGTTTGTGGAATCACTGTTGGAAGAGTTTCACCTTGACTCTTTTGTCTGTTTGACTCGCCTCCTCTCGTTACTCATCCCTTTCCTCCAGCCTCTCTGTGTAGCAGCGTCAGCCCCTATCACGAGGTGATGCGGATGGAAAGACGTCTTCGCTCCTCGTCTGAGGGGGCCGGTGGGCCTCGTATCCATGGAAACCACAAAGATGCCCCGGGCATGGAGGGATGTGGTCTGCTCAAACGCAGAAACAACTCCTCGTCTTCCAAACTGGGAAGTCTGGTAGGTCTTGAGCCGTGTGTGTGTGTGTGTGTGTGTGTGTGTGTGTGTGTGTGTGTGTGTGTGTGTGTGTGATTTTATAAATTCGTTGAAAGCCCCGAGAATATACTCCTGTGAGAGCCTCTAAAGTTCATCATATAACTATAGTTTACATAACAGATGTCAGGTCATGCTCTGTTATCATTACATCACCCTTCAGCATCAACGGTGTGTGTTATGAAACATACAGTATAGTGTGTGTGTGTGTGTGTGTGTGTGTGTGTTTATGTAACAGCTTACATCCTGGTGAAGATGTTGAGGTAACACAGTTTACACACATGGCACTGAATAGTGTGTGCTGTGAGGTGAGCTGTGGAGCAGAAACAATGCACTGACTGCAGAGTGGTAGTTATATAGAGTATCTGTAGATGTGGGAATTGTGTAAAATCACACACACAGATATTTCATATGTCCACAAACTTAAATCCAACTTCACCACCATCTTAGCAGTTTATTTAGGCTGCTGTTGTAGTCTCACTTAAAACTCTGCATACCAAGGAACTGTGACTTCCGCACTGGATTACCAAAACCGCCAGTGCATCATTACAGGAAGAGCCCTGGGGATGAAAAGAGCGACTGTAATTGACCACAATTGTAACCAGCTGCTAACACACTCCCGGATAATATACTGTATGATAGGAGATCATGTCTAATCTCATCCTGGGCCCATGCCTCTGGCACCAAAAGTGTTCCGGCACGCCCTGGGCAAAACCAGGCTCAGTGCACTGGGCCGTACTTTGCAGCTTTGATCCACAAAAACAATGCTTTTCATTTTCACTCCCTTTGACTTCTCTTAAACTCCTTTCGAGACGTTCTTTAAATGCAGCGCAGTGAGAAGTGTCACACGTGTAATGAGGAGCTACAGTGCTGTATTGACTAAACCATAACAAGCTGGCAGCTCAAGTCTAAATGTGTCACTCGGTACAAGTACAGTATTCAACAGCTCAAGTTAAGCATAAGAATCTGTAAATAAGTTATACTGTATATGTGTTCACATGAATGTGAAAAACACACAATAAACATTGAAAGCTGTTGAAGGAAAAAGCCCTGAACTCAAGTTCAGTGTGACTGTGTCGGGATAAAGTATTTTAAGAAACTTCTTCAGTCATCTGTAGGATTTAAGCAGTGTGCCTTGTGTTTTTTTTGTTTTTTTTAGCATTGACTGTCAAACAGACATTGCACCCGTCTTTGTTGATGCATGCTGCAAATCCACATTTGTTTCTGGGGAAAGGCTACAGCTACTGTTGTGTATTGGTTGGTTTTCTTCCAACACACACACAAGGAAGCTCTGTCGGAGGAAAGCTAGTTGAAGTCAATCCCATTTATTTTGCCAGGGACTATCCTCAACAAAGAGATTAAAAGGGCCGGGATATACAAAGCACTTTGCTACGTACTTTACAGACTGCACCCTCTTCTCGGCTCACACTTCCCTAAACGTGGAGTAATCACTTCCTTTCCTTCCTCTGTCCTATGAAGGGCCCTTCGGGGGGGCCGAAGTGGTGCAGAAAGCGCATTTCAAATTATGTACCACAACTTCTCCTCTTTCTTTTAGCTTGATACAATTTAGTTGGTTAGCGGAGGGCCCTTACGGAGCTTATGAAAAAGTCTTGACCGACACACCTGAGACTCCTTTAAAAGGCAAGGCAAGTTTATTTATATAGCACATTTCAGCAACAGGGCAATCTAAATGATTTACATAAAACATCAAAAGCATTGAGCCAAAGTGCAAAAGAAACACATCGTAAAAAAAGGACATTAAAATGCAATTAAAGCAGTCATTCAATTCCAAGAGGATAGAAAATAAAAACAAGCTATAAGAGGGGTCGCAAATACATGAATAAAAGTTACAGTGCAGTAAAAAAAAATGTCTTCAGCCTTGATTATAAGTAAATAAATAACTTGGACCAGTGAGGGTATGAATAACAGGAATAGATGACGCGGGTCATAGTTGGTAACATATATACGACGTGGCTGAGGCCTGTGGATCAGTCCAGAGCCAGATACATATTAACAGTATGCTTTATTGTTGCTGTTTCATTACAGCCCAGACAAAATCTAATAAAGCAAATAAAGATTCGGTTTGCAAAAACAAATAACTAGTTTGTTGAATTCACGGATATAACATCTGTGAAGCTAAAAAAAAAAAAAGCCAGTGTTTGCTTGTTATTGTTATTTGGATACCCCTTTGGGACACTGCAAGATATTTATTTTACCAGCATATATACGTTGTTAGTCGCTCGTAAGTTTGTGAGCGGCAGCTGTGATAATATTTTGGCAGGCTGACGGTGATTACATCCAATTTCAGTCGACAACAAAAAGAACAACTTTACAAGTTCTGGAGAAATTCTTCCTTAGCTCAGGCAGAAGCTGAACTGCGAACACGCACTTTTATTTGTAGTTTGATCGACATATACGGTGAAATAGTTCAAACTGTAATGCACTTTCCTTTGACTGCTACTCGTGCTCATCAACAGTTGCTTTGGCAGCTTGCTTGCTACACAGCGTTGTAGCGGAGGCTGCCTCTTGTTTTTCATATCCTCCAGTCTGACTGCTGCCTTGTAAAGGCTAGACATCATAAATGACACTTGTATTAATCATAGAACAGATAACGATTCACGTCCTCTCCCAGACAGAATGTGTGATGAGCACAACAAATCTGTTGGGTTTTGAAATGAAAAATAATCAAGGATGTTTATATACTAGTGGTGTTGAATGCTCTCTTTGCCCAAAGACATCATGGCAGCCACATATATTATACACACAACTAATCAAATTCATTTTCAAAGGTTTCTGGTCACACAGTAGAGCTCCAAAGATGTATCTCAGACTAATACATAACCATTTGTGGTGTAAAAAAACACTATCATTATCATATCATGAATGAATTTTATGGGAATTAAGTAAATTGCTTATCAAGAATAATCATCATGCTGCAAGAAATCAGTTTAAAAAGAGAAAACCCTTATTGTAAGATATGGACTTCATATTAACACCACTTCTGCTATGGGAATACCAGCATGCTCCCGTACACTGACGAATAGCTTTTAATATTGCATCCAATGGTAAGCGCTCTCATTATATAACTGGTTATGTTTCATAAATCATGGTGATTATATCAAGGTAAGTCCGTGGTCATGTCCTAAATGTGTTCATTTTTAAATCATTGAACAGCGTAGAGGCTAATAAAATGGTAAGTGTGCCTGGAAAGAATGGAGCTGATAGCCAATTAGGGGCTCATTAGCTATCGGAGAGGAACAAGAGTCTGCAGGTCTCCGTCCCCTCGAGGATTGGAAGTGACTACCTCTGCTGTAGAAACCAATGTTTCTTTTAATTCGCTGAAACTTTTGATCCTCCAAAGCAATGTGGCTAAAGAGCTCAGAGACAATCCTTTTAATGGCTTTTTGGTTATGTTGGAGCACTCGGCTGTTCACTCAATTTAATTGTAAGATGGTAATGTGCAGTCATAACTTAATCCAATACCTTGTTCTGGTGTTCACTTTTTTACGACTACCAGATTTAAGGCTCTTATTTAGTTAAATATACTTCTCGTGCTCAAGATTCGTCAGCTTCAGGTTTCACGCACCATCTTTTGTGACCCTCCTAGACAACAATAGACCATTTCCATGGAAGATATTTTGACCAGTTATTGCAGATAAAGCACAGGTGTAACAAATAACAAATGATGGTGTGTCCCACAGTTCACGCTGTTGTTCAGGCAAAATATACTCGCAGGATGTGGTAAAAAGCAGGCAGTTCAGGAAATGGCATGGGTAGGGTTAAGCATTAATGAGGGAGTATGGCTAGTGGGCAAACAAACAGCACTCCCCACAGTTATAAATTATGCAGTTTCTTATCAAAACACTTCACTTTCATTTCTGTCTGTCCTTGCACTCACTACAGCCAAGCAGCACCATTCCGCTTTGCAGTTCTAAAACAAGAATATGAATAAACAACATTTCCAAAATGAGAAGTCAATCCCACGCCCTCTCTCTAACTGGTTGTAGAACCTGACGATTTCGTAGGTCAAAGTCTAATCAAATTTAACGCCACGTGAAGCAAAAGAGGCAAACATGTCTTTTGCTGTTCTGCATAGAAATAAATTGGGAGCAAAATCAGGTCTGCTTAAAAGCCATTCCTCTAGCAGGCACAATGCCCACGGCCGGGAAACTGGAGCACCCGAATAGTATGCCGTTATTTCATGTTATTAATTACACCTGCTGTGTGTCAAAATGTCATAAAAAGGTCCATAAACATGCAGAAGACTTCCAATATGTCCTTATTAAGTACTTCATCTTCTAGAAATCCTTTTCATGACCAGACTACATATTGCAGAAGTAGGAAATGTAGATATCTCACTCTAATTCATGACTGAAGTCATATTTTCTGCCTCAATAGCATATTCTCATAAAGGTTTAGACTATGCAAATGTGATAGAAATCTTGAAATGTACAGAGCCATAGTGGAATTATGGATTCTGTTGCTAACAAAGTGAACAGTATAAGCACTGGGATTGTAAAATGGCATTGCCTGTTGAGTGAGTTTGTTTTGCTCTGGGATGAGTGCTTATTGATGGGAGGAGATAGTTAGAGTAAAATGCAGGTGATGGAAGGGAGACAGTTGGGGGGGGGGGGGGGGGGTAAAAATCCGTTTCTCTTTTCATTCAACAACAGACTTTCAATTTCACAGGACATTCAACCCTTTTGCTCCCTTTGGCGCGTTGTAAACACACCTCGCAGTGAAGCGTCTGCTCAACAGAATCAAAGTCGTTTGTTAGTCCGTATATTTTCCATTGCTAGAAGCCATGCTACCTGGCTGCGAAGCAAAATCTCTCTTATCATGAATCTGAATGAAATTATCACCTCGGAGCCCCGGATCGGCAGTGTGAACAGAAACCAGTGGATTTTAATGGACGGAAAAGAACCTCTTGCTTCCTCTTATCCCTGTTTTGGATGTCGTTCTGCGAGGCAGTTAAGAGATGGAGCCATCTGTTAACGAGACCTGAATCTGATATTATCTCTATTAACTCGAGGAGAACGCTCACTCAAATCACATAAGCGAGTGAACGGTGACATCTCTGGGTTGTAAAATCATATTAATACATTTCTATGGTTAGAGGGGCACATTAAAATGGGTAATTTAGCTTCAAATGAAGTCTGTGTGCAATAGTATCACACGGTATGGGTCTTCATTTCTTTTCCAATACCTTTAGCTATTAGCTTTTATGTCTGAAATGACTTCTTCTGTTCAATCGCATGACACTGAAAATCATCCTGGTCTTTTTCCGATGGTAACTGCGGCAATCATCTGGGTGAAAAAAACAGTGATATTGTGTTACACATTCACACAGTACAAAGACCACAATGGCTTCATATAGGTGTGGCCTTGAAGAACATTGATTTTCTTGTTTGGAAATTCGTTTTTCTAGAGTTAGGCATGTCACGAAGCATCGAGACTCTCGTTCTCAGACGGGAGGAGATCAATACGGAGTGTGGCTCTGAGGTTGTTTATGTCCAAACAACAGTGATGAGAGCTGAACAGAGTTGGTTATTGGATTTTCAGATGCATCTGCATCTGCTGATACTCCATGAGACTGTCGCATAATCGTTTTTTGGCTCCTGATATTTGCTTTCATTTTTGCACAAAAGTTCAGACGGGGTCTTTTAACCAATATTAAGTGCTCTGAAAGCCTTTAGTAAGCCTCCCCGACTTAATTTCTGAAAAATATAATTCTCTCAAAGGTTGTTTCAGGTTATAAAATATATTCAAACCAGCTGAAAGAACTACTCAAAGTGAATAATTAGTTGTTTTGGCCTTGTGAGGTTGTCCGACTCCTGAGATTTGCTGATTCAGGTCAATTCCATTCACTGCATGAGATTAAGAAAAATAAAACGTGGT